TTTGGTTTTATTGCGAATTTCAATCGCTAATTTATATATCAACAGCGGAGGTCTCTTTCCTTATAGAAAAGGCATTTCCCAACCTTTCGCGCAGGCTTCCCTCGGGGGAAATAATGCAGCGACGAGAGCCTCGATATTAATTTCAATTAATATTTACTTTAATAAGCGAGTCATTTTCTGGATATACTTCCGAACTGCCCCATCACCCTAAGTGGATGAGGTTCTGTATATAGGTGCTTTAGGACACGAGAAATCGAATGAGATCAATTACAGAGCTGGATCTCTAACTGATCTCGAGATATACGAAATATAGTCACATTCGGCACAGTGATCGGCGGTGCTCGACTTTGTCTCACTAGGAGGGTGACAATCTCTATAGGTTAAGGTTAGGGTTAGGGTTAGAGTTAGATGTAGTAACCTCCGAGAATCAGTTTATGATGTCATTTGTGACAATTATCTCTAGTTAAGTCTAGCTTATAGACTAACCAATAGTTACGTGTATCTCTGAAACGGTTAGGGTTAGGGTTAGGGTTAGGGTTAGGGTTAGGGTTAGGGTTAAGGTTAGATGTTGTAACCTCCGAGAATCAGTTTATGATGTCATTTGTGACAATTATCTCTAGTTAAGAAGTCTAGCTTATGGACTAACCAATAGTTACGTGTATCTCTGAAACGGTTAGGGTTAGGGTTAGGGTTAGGGTTAGATGTAGTAACAGAACCTCATCCACCTAGGGTGACGGGGCCTTTCGGAAGGTTCCCCGTGGCGTTGTAAATAATTAAGAATTTATTAATTATCAAAAATATTACAATTGAAATACACACATTTTATCGATAATTGCAACTGACACAGCTAATTATTTATTGCTTCAATTTTGAAACAAATAAAGAAAAATAAAATTATAATAATAATTACAATAAATATTTTGTGTTACTATCGATCCCCAGTCGTGCTGTAACCCTTTCTTCGGTCTTCATTTTTTATTAATATTATTCTTATTATTAATAAATTAATATTATTATTATTATTATTATTTTATTATTATTAATATTATTATTATATTATTATTAATATTATTATTATATTATTATTAATATTATTAATATTAATACTAGCTTTAATATTACTTTTCATAAAACGAAACTGCTGCAGTTTAATGTCAGATACCTATATAAAATTTTCATATAAAACATTTTGAATTAAATGTTATAGTTTTTCTGTAATTATCGTTCAAAGTCAAATTGTTAATAACTTTAATATTACTTTTCATAAAGCGAAACTGCTATAGTTAAATAATGTTATATAAAATTTTCATATAAAACATTTTGAATGAAATATTATAGTTTTTCTGTAATTATTGTTCAAAGCCAAATTGTTAATAACTTTAATATTACTTTTCATAAAGCGAAACTGCTATAGTTAAATAATGTCATATAAAATTTTCAATGAAATATTATAGTTTTTTTGTAATTATTGTTCAAAGTCAAATTGTTATCTTTGACCCCGATCTGCCTTATCTCTTTCACATTGTATCACCATCAGCATTGGGAATTTCAAAGCGTATCTACACTATTCTCGTTCTACTTCTATCTCTCCTTTATCGTCGAATTAATTCATAATTTAAACATCATCTGTAGATTTTTATCAACATAATACCGCGATTACTATCGCGGTAACTGTCCAACGGTGCACATCCATCATGGAAATTGTTTGCGTTGAAAGAGCTAATTTATTAATGCCTGTAACACCGTGGAAGAAGGAAAAAAGTGAAGCAGAAGTGAATTTAACATCCAACCGGTACCGATTTCGTTACAACTTCCCGTTTTTCGAACGGACCGAGTATAAGGATTATTCTTCGATATGGAAAAGCATCGGTGGAAAATCATACATCATCTCGGTCGCACCGGCAACCGTATCTCTGTAATTGCAGGAGTTAAACGCGTTCGCTGGTACGGTTGCGTGTAATCGAACTTGTAGCGTCTCTCATAACCATGAAGAGCTGTAACGAAAGAACGAGACACGCCCTACTTGTCGTGCTTTCGAAAATGAATAATGGAAAACAAAGGAGTGGAACGCTGTAACACACTTTATCATTCCGGTAATTGATTCCATTTCACCTTAATACGTTGGTGAATTACATGACTTTTTTTCAAAAGAGAGACGAATTAATAAAATTTCCTGACTATTGTACCGAATAACATTCGTTCAGACGTTGGGAATGATTTTCAAGATCGCCACTCGAACTTCCCTAACGATCTTTTAATCTCCCCCAGCCGAGATGCCGATTAATGGGTCTTCGCTGAAAAACTCGGAGAAAACCTAGCGTTCCGTCTTTATAATGAAAAAGGAGTCGTTACAATCGGTTCGGTTTGCTTTCAGACCGACAGCAATTGCATTAATTTAACAGGATAACGTTGATGCTTAATTGCACGATCTCACGGTGTGCGTACCGGTTTAACGCCGAACGGTCGCATACGATCGAGTCGCCGTGTGACGCGTAGATTATTGCAGGATACGGCACAATAGAAACGACGGGCGCTGATTAATAGAAAGGATTCCACCCTTCGTCCTAGTCCAGGAGTCTTCGTCCCACGATTCCTCGACGTTTCGTTTCAGTAATTATTTACATTACGTACGGCAACTCCGATTTCGATGATTTTTAAATATGTTGCAGAAATCAACATTTTGAGCTACTTTTTCCTATATATATAACCGCCGCCCGGCCTTAGTTTTCGAGATATTTTGGAAAAACTGTCGAGACTAATGCATTGAATTCTGTCAATCGCGTGTGTCTACTGTTTTTGCAGACAACACCTTCTGGATTCATGATTTCAACGTATTGTAGCTATAATGGCAGCCGGAAATTTAATATAGCCTAACCTAACCCAATCTAATTTAATTAATGAGTGATATAGGTTAGGTTAGGCTAAAGAAACTATAATGGCAGCCAGGAATTTAATATAGCCTAACCTAATCCAATCTAATTTAGTTAATCAGTGAATTAGGTTTGGTTAGGATAAGGAAACTATAATGGTAGCCAGGAATTTAATATAGCCTAACCTAACCCAATCTAATTTACTTAATCAGTGAATTAAGTTAGGTTAGGCTAAAGAAACTATAATGGTAGCCAGGAATTTAATATAGCCTAACCTAACCCAATCTAATTTACTTAATCAGTGAATTAGGTTAGGTTAGGCTAAAGAAACTATAATGGCAGCCAGGAATTTAAGGTTAGATTGCAGTTTCCCGGGTAATTGATCTCGACTATTTTATCGATAGGAAGTGTCACGTGGCGTTACAAAGTTATGGTCATTTTAAAAAATCACAATTTTTCAAAAATTTTCCGATAATTTCGAATCCAAAAAATAACCTAACCTAACATAACCCAACTTATCAACTAAAATAGCTAGCCTTTGAATTAGCTTATCTTAGTTCTTCCAGCTAGAAAAGCTAGTCTTTAACTTAGCTTAGCTTAGTTAGGTTAGGTTACTTTTTGGATTCGAAATTACCAGAAAATTTTTGGAAAATTGTAACGCCACGTGATATCGACCTCAGGACAATTCCTTTCGTCTTCTCCGACCTTGATTTATCCGATAAAATAGTCAAGATCAATTACCCGGGAAACTGCAATCTAACCGAATTTAATATAGCCTAACCTAAACCAATCTAATCTACCTAATCAGTGAATTAGGTTAGATTAGGCTAAAGCAATATATAACCGCCGCTCAGCCTTACTTTTCGAAATATTTTCAAAAAACTGTCGAGACTAATACATTGAATCCTATCTGTTCATGTGTGTCCGTGTTTCATCTTACGCGGCAGTGTGCGGTCGCCACTTTTCTACTATTTTTGCAGGCAGCAGCATGGCGACTACACCTATATATATAACGAGTAAGCTTAAAAATCAAATTTAACTAATTTTAATCATTTTGAATCTAAGTTCGTGTGTCTGGTCGCCTAATGGCCTAACCTAACCTAATTCGCTGATTAAACATTCCTGCTGTTACCAGAGTCCATAACTGCAAAAAGACCAGTTTTCGTTCTTTCGTGCTCATCTTCGTCCTGATTGGCGATACTCCCAAACGAAGTGGAAAGCGATTAGCGGAGAGCTCGCTGCGTTCCCCCACCATTTTCCAACCTGCGCGGCTTAGTTATTGGGTTAGGTTAGGCTATATGTAGATTAGATTGGGTTAGGTTAGGCTATATTGAATTCCCGGCTGCCACCATAGCTACGATACTTTGAAATCATGAATACAGATGTGTCGGTTTCGACAGTTTTTCGAAAATATCTCTAAAACTAAGACCTAGCGGCGATTATATGTATAGAAAAAAGTTGTTCAAAATGTTGATTTCTGCAACATATTTAATAAAAATCATCGAAATCGGAAGCGCCGTCCGTAATCTAAATAATTACCTTCGTTTCTTCGAGCGAAGTTTCGCCTGGTAACAGAGCCAGGAAATTTTGGCTTCAGAAATGAAAGTTTGTTTTTTAATTCGATGTTTGCGAGAAATTGATCTGGAAACACGTCCGGTGCATTCGAAACGCTTTGTTCGACAATGGAGCAGAAGGATTGACGTACGAGATTAAGGCCTTCTGGCTGTTTTCATCGGGCGAATACAAAAAACGGGAAGGCGAGAAGGGTGGTTTGGACCACCAACGATCACGATTCGTTATTAAATCTCGCAGGTATCGAGATTACGGTATAATCGTATTGATAACAGCAGCGTATCCTCGCCTTTAGATGCCCTGTCCCCGACGGTTTCCCATTTGCCAGGACAAAGCCCCTTTTAAAGCAGGCCTTTTGTGCTCTTAATTCAGTGCCGTGCGTGAAATCGACACGTTTTTCCACTTAATTCACGGACACGCCTGTTTCTCGCGCTTTCCTTTCTTTACCTTCCTCTCTTTTCTTCCTTTTCTTTTTACCCCGCCCCTTTGTACGATCATTGTCGAAATGTAGCGAGTACGCGTATCACCGATGTAAATGTCGTAAATAATAATTAACAGGATAAATTAAAAAAGAAAAAAAAGAAGAAGAAGAAGAAGGCCATCGAGGAATTCGAAGAATGCGAAGATTACGAAGATAACAATAGATTCTTTCTGGTCGGCGGCAAAAAAAGAGAAGAATGAAAACAAAAGGCGGGGAAGAGCAGAAACCCTAGGAACTTTCACACGACCACTGCCACCAACTTATGATAAATGGATCTTTCGTTAAGGATCATTTTCAACGGTAAGCAATCGCTAAAGTCATCCTTGGCCCACCAACTGTTCCGCTAATACCTATTAAATCGTGTGTTTAAAAAAAAATATATCGGATACCATTACGGTTATTAAAAATGTGTTATATAAAAATATGTAAAATATTTCAAAATGGGGTTAGATTGCAGTTTCCCGGGTAATTGATCTCGACTATTTTATCGGATAAATCAAGGTTGGAGAAGACGAAAGGAATTGTCCCGAGGTCGATATCACGTGGCGTTACGATTTTTCAAAAATTTTCTGATAATTTCGAATCCAAAAAATAACCTAACCTAACTAAGCTAAGCTAAGTTAAAGACTACCTTTTCTAGCTGAGAAGAACTAAGCTAAGCTAATTCAAAGGCTAGCTATTCTAGCTGATAAGTTTGGTTGGGTTAAGTTAGGTTATTTTTTGGATTCGAAATTACCGGAAAATTTTTGAAAAATTGTGATTTTTTTAAATGACCATAACTTTGTTACGTCACGTGATATCAACATTATATATTACTTTAGCCTAACTTAACCTAATTCACTGATTAGGTAGATTTGATTGGGTTAGGTTAGGCTATATTAAATTCGGTTAGATTGCAGTTTCCCGGGTAATTGATCTTGACTATTTTATCGGATAAATCAAGGTTGGAGAAGACGAAAGGAATTGTCCCGAGGTCGATATTACAATTTTCCAAAAATTTTCTGATAATTTCGAATCCAAAAAATAACCTAACCTAACTAAGCTAAGCTAAGTTAAAAACTCGCTTTTCTAGCTAGAAGAACCAAGCTAAGCTAATTCAAAGGCTAGCTATTCTAGCTGATAAGTTTGGTTGGGTTAAGTTAGGTTATTTTTTGGATTCGAAATTACCGGAAAATTTTTGAAAAATTGTGACTTTTTCAAAAGGCCATAACTTTGTTACGCCACGTTATATCGACCTCGGGACACTTCCTATCGTCCTCTCCGACCTTGATTTACCCAATAAAATAGTTGAGATCAATTACCCGGGTAACTGCAATCCAACCCAAAACGGTTATCCTCTTCTTTATTTTCCCAAATTCTTCAAAATTCCAGATTGCTTTCGTAATGGAGTATCGGTATAATTAATAACGGAACAACTGTGGAGAACTATCGAAGAAGCGGTAGGAGCGGGGGTAGGATCGAAGGAGGTAAAGAAAAAAGAAATTCTTCCTTTATGGCGTTTAATGGGATTCTTCGCACTTCGGGCCTGGCTCCGACAAAGGGCCAATTCTGGTTCGGGCCAAAGGGCCTCCTACCAAATTAGAAAGCTCTGAATGATTTATCGGCCAGGGATATTAAATTAGAAGGAATTTCGTGGCTCGAAACCAGCATCGGCCCGGGTACTTGTTCGTTTAATACCAATAATTCCCTCGCACTACCAACAAACATTGAAAACATCCTTTGATACCTTATTTACCCTTCGCTAAAAAACAAGATTTAATTGACGAGTCGTCACACGAATTGGCGTAATTAGGCAGATAATTGCTGTTCTAAAATTCTGAAGTTGAAACATTTTTAAAGGCACCCTAGAAAAGTATCTTAATTACGCTAGTGATATAAGGAGATAAAGATTTATTTTTAGAGGATAAAAAAATAGGAACACTATGGTTTTCAGATATATACAATAATTTATTTAATCACGAAGCAACGTTTACATTTACGGGCATCTTCGTGAGAGTACGATCGGGTACATTAATTATATTACGCTTGTAGATCATTCAAAGAACAAAATTTATACAAATAGATGTAAAATTTTTTATTATACAAATCTGCGTAAACGATCAGGAATACTGACTAAAATAGAAAAGTTCCTACTTACATAATCACAATTGAAAAATACTTCTTACTGGTAAATGGAAAGATTTGTTTTTTAAAACAAGAACGTTGGTAAATCGAATCTATTGGAGAAATTGATCTACGTTAATTTTCGAATCGAAAAGAAAAGTTTGTTCGTTGAAAAGTTTCTTCTTTCCGAGTCGAAAATACTTTTTTGGGGAACGAATCGTAAATTCGACAATTAAGGCCTTTATTTCTAATATTATTGACTCTATCGAAATAACGCTCTCTTTTGTTCAATGTTTTTTTGGTGAATATTTGGATTAAAGTACCTCCAATCACCTTGACCTTGACATATGTTATCAAGGTCATCAGTTTGAGTAACTTTTCCATATAACTTAATCGTCGATCGTTGCTTATTAAAAAGTTATAAACAAATAAAGTTTTCAAACAGAGATATAATTATTCTGAGAGAATAGATCAATTTTTTGCAATTATTTTAAAACTATATTTACTAAGAAACAATATAAGTAGTGAAAGGAAATAAATATTTATATTGTTCGGTATAAAAATTATTTAAGTACTTATTCGTTATATCCGCTAACAAGTAATGTATAATAATTAATGGAAGAGGAAATAAATGGAGAGTTGGTGAAGAAATCTAACCTAACTTAACACTAAGCCATTTGCATCCGCGCCATTGTTGTCATACTTTGTGACCATGTTGTGACTTCGGAATTGAAATACATTGCCTTTGGGTTAGGTTAGGTTTGGATTCGATTTTTAGGTTAGGGTTTTTGAATGGAGCTCTTCTATAGTGAAGGCAGAATTCTTTATCAACTTGCCATGTATTGATTTTTGCAAATCTCCATCTTGATTTTTACAAACCTCCATCTTAATTTTCACAAATCTCCATTTTGATTTTTACAAATCTCCATTTTGATTTTTACAAATCTCCACTTTGATTTTTATAAATCTCCATCTTGATTTTTACAAATCTCCATATTGATTTTTACAAATCTCCATCTTGATTTTCACAAATTTGCACCATCTTAATTTTTACAAATCTCCATCTTAATTTTCACAAATCTCCATTTTGATTTTTACAAATCTCCATCTTGGTTTTTATAAATCTCCATCTTGATTTTTACAAACCTGCATCTTAATTTTCACAAATCTCCATTTTGATTTTCACAAATCTGCACCATCTTAATTTTTACAAATCTCCATCTTAATTTTCACAAATCTCCATTTTGATTTTTACAGATTTTTATCTTGATTTTTGCAAATCTCCACTTTGATGTTTACAAATCTCCATCTTGGTTTTTATAAATCTCCATCTTGATTTTTACAAACCTGCATCTTAATTTTCACAAATCTCCATTTTGATTTTCACAAATCTCCATTTTGGTTTTTATAAATCTCCATCTTGACTTTTAAAAATCTTTTTTAGTTCCTAACTTTTTAATGAGCAATGAGCGACGATTAAGTTATAAGGAAAAGTTACTCAAACTGATGACCTTGATAACACATGTCAAGGTCAAGGTGATCGGAGCTGGGTACGTTAATCTAAATATTTACCTTTTTTCCCATTTATTAGTTTTTATACTCTCTAGAATCGCTCCTCTTAATTATAATTCTTCAGGAAGTCTAAATAGTTGTACAACTCGATACAGATATCAACTGGTGATTAATAAAATTCGTCTGTATTAACGCATTGTTGACCAACAAGCTATTTCATGTCACCAACTATTATTTCCTAATTTAGTTTGAAAGTGAAACAATTTAAATAATCTTCAATACACTTTATTGATAATAATGAATTTAAATGAATTTATTAATTATTAATGAATATAAATAATACTGTATATTATATTTTAGTAATTTTTTGTCAAAATCAATAGGACAGTCGGAAAAAGTGTCTGCAATTAATTAATTGAAAAATTCTTTACCATTGCGATCCGACGTGGTTGAAATCTTTGTAACATTAAAAATTCGATAAAAATCTAAATATCGAGAAAAGTAATTTTCTTTTTGTAATATATTACCCTGAGTTTTGAAAATTAAAAATAATTAAAAATAGCTTGTAACTAGTCAACAATGTATTAATTAGAAATTCGATGAAGCATTTAACTAGGTTACTTTGTCGAGAGCTTTGGAAAGATCTTAAAAATTAATTAGATTCGTAATTACGTGTTAAAGGATGACATAGTGTGACTATTAAGGAGCTACGAATATAGGAGCTAGAAACTTGCTGCTTCGAACACTTTCCAAGTGTTACCGACACTTTCGTTCGAGTATTTTTATATATTTCCCATACGTTTCTAAATAGTACCATTCTCTGTTATTCCATCATCCTTTTCCATTAGAATATTTTCTCGAGAATAGAAGGAATTTAAAAACCGAAGAAAAATCTGACATTTCAAAGAACCAGACAGAATACTGCAATTTCTTTAAGAAGACCGGTGAAAACTGAAAAGTTACTAGATAACTAGGAATGAAAATTCACCAAAAACACACGTTCCTCGTCGCACGGGTCGATGGAATCACCAAAGGACACAGAATCCCGAGGAAAATCACCATCACTGTCACCGGAAGCCCCCGTTCTCCTCGCTCGAACCGTAACAGAAACATCAACTTGGAGTAACTGTACGTCAGTTTATAGGGCGAAATCGTTCACAGGACACTGTTCAGGTAGCAGTCTCGTATGGTACCTTGGCGGTGGACAGGCCAAACGGGAATCCCGCGTAGAGAGGTCGGGGGACGAGTAGATGTCCTCTCTTCTCGTCCTCCATGTTCCCGGACATTTGTTGATCATCGGGTGCTATGATGTTCTCGATGGTGAATGGTTTCTTCTTCTTCTTCTGCTGCTCGGGTTGGATGCTGGTCTGACTGGAGATGCCGGCCTCCAAAATGGAGGAGGAACGGAGCTTGCCATCGGGCTCTGAATTGCTGCTCCTTCCCCCGGTGTCCAGGAACGGTCTGGACTCAGTCTTGTCGGAGATGCTGGTCTCCGTGGCGCCGGGACAGATTTGTCTGCTGTCCGGTATGTCGGTTTGAAAGTAGGACAGCTGAGAAACATACGGGGACACCTGGAACCCGGGGAAGCTCCAGCTACCCGTTTGGAGGAGGTTGTTCTCGTAGCCGCGAAGGATCTCGTCGGTCCCGGCGAGTCTCTGTCGTACTTCCGGCGACAGCAGGTAGTAGCTGGAGCCGGCTTCCGGCGCGGAGAAGCCGGGAGAGCTGTTCCCCCCGGATGTCATCCCGAGGCGACGCTCGTGCAGCTCCCAACGGAGAAGATCGTCGCGGAGGCGGTGCAGATTCGCGACCGTCAGGCCATTCGTTTGGGCGCTCGGGTTTATCGCGATGACCGGCGAGGACTCCGAGTGGGGAGGCGGCGGCATGGCCGACGCCAATGCCTGGAGTTCCGACTTCAGCAACTCCTTGTCGGGCTTGTGCAGCTTGAACCGCTTCCGACGACGAAGCAGCGAACCGTTCTCGAACATCGAGAGGGCGGCTGGGTGAAGCGCCCAGTACGCACCTTTGCCTGGGCGATGGGGTCCTCTCGGCACCTGGGAACAATCATTTCAAATACGTGTCGTTAAGTACTTTTATACATTCAACGTGCATCTACACTGAAGGAATTAATTCTAGGCACTTTTAAATTTTTAATTAAATTTCGCATTTATTCAAATTTTTAATGTATAATAATTTATATTTTATATTCTAATCTAAGTTATTGTATTTTTAATGCAATTAAAAGTTACAAGTACCTAATTAATATTTCCGAAAATCTCGAAATAATATTCTAATCTAAGTTATTATATTTATAACGCAATTAAAAGTTACAAGTACCTAATTAATATTTCCGAAAATCTCGAATTAATATTCTAATCTAAGTTATTATATTTTTAATGCAATTAAAAGTTACAAGTACCTAATTAATATTTCCGAAAATCTCGAATTAATATTCTAATCTAAGTTATTATATTTTTAATGCAATTAAAAGTTACAAGTACCTAATTAATATTTCCGAAAATCTCGAAATAATATTCTAATCTAAGTTATTATATTTATAATGCAATTAAAAGTTACAAGTACCTAATTAATATTTCCGAAAATCTTGAATTAATATTCTAATCTAAGTTATTATATTTATAACGCAATTAAAAGTTACAGGTACCTAATTAATATTTCCGAAAATTTCGACTTCTCACCTAAAATCATAATTAAAAGTCGAGATTTTCGAAAATTTTAATTCCTTATAACTTTTAATTGCGTTTACTGATTTCGATGAAATTTTCAGCATGCACGTAACTTACTTGAATCTACGAAAGGTATATTTTAAATTTTCATTGCAATCTCAGATAAAAAAGTTAAAAAATTATCATTCACTATTTTTTTTCACGATTTCATTTTTTTATAGCTTTTATAGAGGTATTCTATTTTGAACAGTGTCCACTTATTTTCGTCCCCAAGTGTACTATACCCCCATTCTTTATCTCGACAAGAGTCAACATACATTTCAACAAAAGTACCTCGTTAAAATTTATAACTTAAAATAAGGAACTTGAAACCAATAATTTTGACTGCTTCGATAGTTCTAGTATTAATAAATATTCATTGAATATAACATTAAATTTCAATAACGAGGAATATAGGTAACCAATTTCGCGATAATCATCAGCCTGTTAAGACAGGCATAACGAGAAATAAACAAGATGATTGCGAAGTGGAAAACAGATAAAAAGATGATTTTTTTATCGAGCCTTGGGTCCGTTTTAACGCGGCAGGACAAGCTGTGTCAGCACTCGTTCTCTATTCTATTTTTCGACCATCTGTTTTGCACCTGCCTCCGACCTGAATATCCTCGAGAAATACGATCGTCTCGCTGGACGATCACGAAATCATTTTGCTCTTTCGCAAACCCTCGAACAGGAATGACTCGGTTGCATTAAGAAGTCATTCTAATTGTAATTAGATTTTTTTTCTTTTTTCACACAATTTGACACGAGACACAAATAAAGAAGAAAAAGAAGAAGAGTAATTAGATACAGTTCCATGTTTTCTTGATCCCATTTTTGGAAAACATATACAGTGGCTGCAGAAATATTCGGACACCGTTTAAAATGGAATACTTTATTTAAAATTGGACCGAATGATTTGAGGTTTTCTGAGGAGGTATACAAATTAATTTATTATAATAAGATATTTAAAAAATTACAGTTTGTTGAAATCAGAAAAAAAATAGTAAAAGGCAATTTTTTAAATTTTTTATCTGAGCCTGTAATAAAAATTTAAAATATGACATTTGTAAATTTAAGTATGTTATAAATGTGCTGAAAATTTCATCGAGATCGGTCAATACTCTAAGAAGTTATAAGTAATTAAAAGGGTATAGCAGGATAAGATGGTCAAAAGTGTCCTTGAGCCGATTTTATTGAACTATGCACCATTCAATAGCTTATAAAAAAACCTCATTATGTACCAAGTTTCAACCCTATATCTCAACCGGAAGGGTAGTTACAGGGTAAAATCGAAAAAACGGTTTTTGCCATATTTTCCCTATTTAGTGATATTCAAAAAATTTGAAAAAATTCACAATCATAAAGAAACATGTGTAGAATATTCTAGAATATTTTCAGATTTTTTGAATACCAATAAATAGGGAAAATATGGCAAAAACCGTTTTTTCGATTTTACCCTCTAACTACGCTCCTGGTTGAGATACAGGATTGAAACTTCGTGTATAAAGGTTTTTTTTGATAAACTATTGAATGGTGCATAATTCAATAAAATCGGCTCAAGGGCTACTATACTTTAAATAAAGTAATTAAATATATTAGTATATCTTTATATTAAAAAAATTTATGAATTCTATTTCGAGTTCGCCCGGCAGTTCTATGCGTCCGATTTGCATTATTTTTTTTTTTTTTTAATGAAAGGCAACAAGCATTGGAATACATCTACCTTTCGCCCCTCTTAAGTTCTATACTCAAACGTGATTTTTCTGGAGTTTCTCTCCACTCAAAGCTACTTATCTCCGGTTCTAATTGAGGTACGGTGTTAGTTTTTGTCTAAGAACACGCAGTGAATCAAGCTCTTTCATTTGAGCTATTGACCAGTTACATTGGATGATTTGAAGCGCACAACAAAGTTGAATTTCAATTTTTCTAATAATAATTTATATAAAAATTGATGTTTAAATGCGAATTTTTCGCACGGGTCAACTAGTGTTAGTATATTAAAGTAATTAAATATAAAAAAATAAAAATAAAGAGATAAGTAATTAAGAACATAACTAGTCACATTTTTAGATGAAAAGTCGCGATTTTCGGAAATTTTAATTATTTATAACTTTTAAATGCGTTGACCCATCTGGTTGAAATTTTCAGGATACACATAAGTTATTTGAATCCATGAAAGACATATTTTGAATTTTCATTATAGGCTTACGTAAAAAAGTTGAAAAATTACCCTTCATTATTTCTTTTTCATGATTTCAATAAATTGTAATTTTTTAAAACGACAAAAGCACGTATCTTATTGCTAGTAAATTAATTTGTATAGCTTCTCAAAAAACCTCCTCATTTGGTCCAAATTTAAATGAGTTATTCTGTTTTAAACGATGTCCGAATACTTTTGCAATCCACTGAATATTCTGAAAGAATTCTCGACGAGTACTGTTAAACAAATCATGTCTTATTCCCCGCAAATTTCAAAAAAATTTTTGTTTTTAAATTTCTAATTTTGTTAAAGATGCATATATTTCGACCTAACCTAATCTAAGTCTAACCAAAAATATAAATAAGAAAAAATATTTTTCATTCAAATCATAGAATGTTCAATTCGATAGGATACAAAGTTTCTATTCGAGAGAATACAGAGTGTTTATTACATTTACAAGTGTTTTAAAGAAATTCAGCCTTAACGATCTAGACCTAACCTAATCTAAGCCTAACCAAAAATATAAATAAGAAAAAATACTTAAATGATAGAATGTTTAATTCGATAGGAAACAAACTTTCTATTCGAGAGAATACAGAGTGTTTATTACATTTATAAGTGTTTTAAAGAAATTCAGCCTTAATGATCTTGACCTAACCTAATCTAAGCCTAACCAAAAATATAAATAATAAAAAATATTTTTCATTCAAATCATTATCCCATAGAAATGTCAATTCGATAGGATACAAAGTTTCTATTCGAGAGAATATAGAATTTTTATTACATTTACAATTGTTTCAAAGGAATTCAGCCATAACGATTTTGACCTAACCTAATCTAAGCCTAACCAAAAATATAAATAAGAACAAATATTTTCTATTCAAATCATAGAATGTTCAATTCGATACAAAGTTTCTATTCGAGAGAATACAGAGTGTGTATTACATTTACAAGTGTTTTAAAGAAATTCAGCCTTAACGATCATGACCTAACCTAATCTAAGCCTAACCAAAAATATAAATAAGAAAAAATACTAAAATCATAGAATGTTTAATTCGATTGGATACAAAGTTTCTATTCAAGAAAATACAGGGTTTTATTACATTTACAACTGTTTCAAAGGGATTCAGCCTTAACCCTTTTATTCACAGCCCTGACCATCGAATTAGGACCACGTACGAAAACTTCACTTTTATGGCTATAATAGTATATCATATATGGTAAATTGTCTTAGGTCATTCAAATTATTACTAAATACATTGACAACCAGATATACATAGCAATAGATTTGTTACTATTAAAATGATGTGGGTGATGAGCGATTAAGGGCTGTGCGAGTGTTTGTCTGGAGCCTACTCAAAAGACTTGTTTACAACTCCCCAAGCACCACATTATCTGAGTTGAAAACAAAAAAAATCACAGATATTTGGGAAAATAACGAAGATATAAAAAGCATATGGGGCATTCCATGGGAAATCGGACACCTTTTGGAGCACCATGTCGGATTTTTCTCAAAAGATATGTTGTAGTTCTTAGTAATATATAAACGTATCTCGAAGGATTTTAAAAAATTTATATGAGAAAGCAACGTACGAAGCATGAGAGAAAGGATACAATTTGAACAGGCCTTTTAATTCTATGGAAAACATGAAAAATTCTGAAAATTTGGAGTGGTCCTAATTCAATGGCCAGGGACTGTATGTGTTAAATTTAAAAGAATAAATAAATTTGACAAATTTTATAACTCTATTATTGTGTATTTCCTGGATCTATGACTGGGCTCATTTGACAGAACTCGTCGAGATCTATAAGATCTATCGAGATATGAAATCGGCGCCACAGTGTGACGTTTGGTCGATCTAGCGGAACAAAAATCAATTTTGCAACCGACACAGGTATACTAGTATCGGACATTAGCTATATCACCTAGTACGCTACGGCACCTAGTATCGGACATTAGCTATATCACAGTCGACTCTATACTCCGTTCAACGAGTCGAGTCACCAAGCACGTGAACAGGACAGGGCCGACTTACGGGTTCCGAATCCCCACATCACATCGAAAGATAAGCCTGACCTTGCATGCAAGAGCCCTTGGCAAGGGACCATCATAACTTGGCCCTGAGTTGTAACATGTGGCAGCCAATGACCGCAGTCGTAGAGCCGATCACGTGAGTTGTGTGTTTTGACTTGGTGACTCGTCTCGTTGAACGGAGTATAGTACTAGCCATGCTGAACAACGTGGCAACACCGCTCACGTGACAATCGGGAGTCCTATTTTCAAAAATAGAGTCCTGTGCTCGGAATTGTAATTAACGTCTTTTTTAATTAAAAGCTGTAGTAATATACACTATTTTGTGTTAATTATGTATAAACAATATATAAACGTTGCAACTATGGCAAATAGAAGTGATGTGGTAGTATAAAATTGTTATAAATGTGATATATATTTTGTGTACTCTCAAAGTAGTTTGGTGTTGTGAAGCATGATATTTGAAATATTTACAGTGGTTTCAAGAAAATTTAGGTATGAAGCAAAATGAAACCATCTTTGGATCAAATTGAAACATTTAAGAATTGATGAACGTGTATATAAGTTAATAAACACCTTGAAACAAGCGAAATTATTGGAACGAAACCAAAGAGGTTATGTGAAGTCCAGAGAGTAGTCGGGAGTCTGACGACGTTGATTGGCTGAGAGTCTGGGAGTCCAGGAGGCAGATAGAGTAGGGTATTTGTTGATATATTCAGACCGGACTCCCGCGGTGTTGCCATTTTTACTTCAGCACGGCTAGTACTAGAGTCGGCTGTGGCTATATCTAAAAGAACTGAAATGTGATAAAATTGTTTCAACCGTTAAACGTTTGTTTTATCCTCTCCTTTGTTTTGACGGTTGAAACAATTTTGTCAAATTTCAGTTCTTTCAGATATAGCTAATGTTCGATACTAGGTATTGTCCGGTACTAAGGGAACTCCTCCTATATATCAATAGTAGAATGTCCATTTCATCAGAAAATCTAAATATCAATTATAAATTAACAGAAAAATTTTGATAATCATTTCAATCGGTAAGTGATCGGATGCTCCCATTTCTACTACTGTGAAGTCTTCAATTTCCTGTAGCATAATTATGTCTGTCCATATCATGTCTATTGTTCTGAGGCCCTTTGAGTCTATGAGCGTACAGTGGTACCTCGGTATACGACCTTAATCCATTCCTTATGTTTGAACCTATACCGAATAGGACTAGGAATAGGAATAGTCAAGAACAATTCGAGATACAAGATAGTTCGAGCGAGAAAGAGGCGGAGTTCCAAACGAAGGAGACAATTTCGAGAAAAGTCGATTATAAGCTATCGCGGGAAGCAGAGACGCGAGGCGCGAGCGTGGAAAACGCGAAATTCATTCTTGACGACGAGAACGTTGATTTCGGCGGCCGCGGATAGCAACGAGCGGATATAAATTAAGGGCTCGCGACTGCCTCGGCCTATTTCGCCTGAGTCATGTCGGTAACGCCGAGATAAGTTTTATTAGTTGGTAAGCGAGCATTTGCCCGCAGGGACAACTTACGGCAGTCCTGGAGGTTGGGGCACACCCTCCCTGCCTCCCGACCTCATTGCAAAATTAAAAAACAAAACCCTCGGCCTGCTGTTACCCGAGAGGGAGGACAAGGGTAAGACCATCGGCCGCCCTTGGTCAGCAGGCTAGGGACTCCGGCAGAAGTGAGTGACTAATTTCGCCTCTACAGGGGCCGACGCTTTTTAGGGACTTATCCTGTCCCCATGTTGCCCAATGAACACTATCGTCCACGCGCATTGGGGATGGGGATTGGCAGCACTGCCAACCCCAAACCCCGCGCATTTTTGTATTTTGCTTTGTCTTACATTTTTCCGTACTTTTAAATTCTATGAGTTTTTGTCATTCCATACTCCATACTTTTTATGTCCTTATGTGTGTGTGTGTGCGTGTGTCGTTTTTTAACCGACTTCGAAAAGGAGGAGGTTACTCAATTCGATCAATATGTATTTTTTTTCCAACAGCAAACGGTAACCCATCTTTTGGCGGGACCGTGTCCACTTAGCTTGACTTCGGTGATCTTACGGGTACCGGTATGACCTAAGTGGCTAAAGCCTTTGACGACTCTGGCAGGAGAGTAAGGCGATAATACCTGGACGCCTGCCAGAGAAGAGAGAGATCCTGATAGGAGAGTTCGGCGACGATACTTGGACGCCTACCGGAAGAAGGGAGAGTACGGGAGAACTGTTCCTGGACGCTACCAACGGCCTTAGAGCCACTTGGGACATACCGGTACCCGTCAGATCACCGAAGTCAAGCCAAGTGGGCACGGTCACCCACAAAGATGGGTTACCGCGCGCTGTTGGTAAAAGAAAGTGGACATTAAGCGCCTGGTTGATGAATTGTTGTTACCAACTCAGGTAAGCTTGATAAAGTAGGACGCGTCCTAGAGCAAAATTCCCTTACACGCCGACAAAGAGTCAAGTGTTGGATCTTCCGTACCCGATAACGATGATTTGAAAAAATATGAGTTTGACAGTTCTTCCAATCGCCGTCACCTGGGTGGTGGTGGTGGTTGCTGGGGAGTGGATGGTTAAGTTGCATATACCCGATCGGGTGAGGAGGTGGCATATCCGCGCTTGTCTTCGGACGGCCGGATTCACAATAAACTGTTCCTGAACGCTCGACCGGCACGGAGAGTACGGCGATAATACCTGGACCCCTGTCGGTCGAGAGAGTACGGAGCAGGCCCTCCGAAATTGCGTCCGCTCCAGCTCCGGTCCGGTCTCGATTTCTCACGAAGAATATTTCCCTGGAGCGGGACTGCGCTCCCTCGTTTGAAACGCTTCAGCTTGTACGTTTCCATCTTGTCTTCGTAGATTGTTTACATGATTTGTCTCAATGCATTCCGAATTCTTTTCGCAATTTAAGATCGACTATTTTTAATAATATAATGCAGAATACATGTCGTTAAAATAATTGTAGTGGCATTTTCAGGATTAGTTATGCACACTCGACTAATCTTCTTCCTTTACATAATCGATAATTAAATATTTTTTTTTTTAATATCCTCTATACTTTTTGATCCTAGATAAGGCCGCATTACATATTTCTTTAATGGAAATTCTTTAATATCATTATTTTTTGACCGACTTCGAAAAAGGAGGAGGTTACTCAATTCGATTAGTATATATTAGGTCATTCCATAAGTTCGCCCCGACTTTTGTATGTATGCATTTCACGCCTCGATTTATAAACACAAGGCGATAAGAAACCAATGCACTTCAGTTTGTTTGAGGGCAGTGAAATAGTGAACGCATTGATTTTTAACAGTTAAAAATGATGAGTGAAATTCGTATTCATTTCCGACATCTAATGTTATATGAATCTCGAAAAGGAAGTTCGGTAATAATTGCGACAAACAATATATGTACTGCTCTTTCATCTCGTAACTGTAGAAAATGGTTTACACGTTTTAAAGATGAGAATTTTTGTTTAGAAGATGAGGAACGTTCTCAGACACAGAAAGACAAAATTCAAGATCTTGTAGAGAAATCACTTAATTTATCAGTTCATGAGATGTCAAATATTCTAGAAATACCAAAAACAACAATTCATGCACATTTAAAGACATTAACATATGGAACCGTTCAAAAAACGGCACGAACTTATGGGATGACCTAACATATATATTTTTTTTTTTCCATATGAATCTATATCTACAGCAGTAAATTGATAATTTGCATCTACTAATGCCAAAAGACTTTTTATAATTGACTATCAGATTGGGAGCGGCTCGAAAGTGACATAGCAGTGTGGGTACGGTAAGATTTTACCGGACCGAGACAGACCGGGACCGAACCGAATAGTGTGGATCTAGTCGTACGGTAAGATTTTACAGGACCGGGACCGAACCGATATAGTGTGGATCTAGTCGTACGGTAAGATTTTACTGGACCGAGACCGGACCGAGACCGGACCGAGACCGGACCGGGACCGAACCGATATAGTGTGGATCTAGTCGTACGATAAGATTTTACTGGACCGAGACCGAACCGGAACCGAACCGAATAGTGTGGATCTAGTCGTACGGTAAGATTTTACCGGACCGGGACCGAATAGTGTGGATCTAGTCGTACGGTAAGATTTTATAGGACCGAGACCGGACCGGGATCGAACCAATATAGTGTGGATCTAGTCGTACGGTAAGATTTTACCGGACCGGGACCGAACCGAATAGTGTGGATCTAGTCGTACGGTAAGATTTTACCGGACCGGGACCGAATAGTGTGGATCTAGTCGTACGGTAAGATTTTACCGGACCGGGACCGAATAGTGTGGATCTAGTCGTACGGTAAGATTTTATAGGACCGAGACCGGACCGGGATCGAACCAATATAGTGTGGATCTAGTCGTACGGTAAGATTTTACCGGACCGGGACCGAACCGAATAGTGTGGATCTAGTCGTACGGTAAGATTTTATAGGACCGAGACCGGACCGGGATCGAACCAATATAGTGTGGATCTAGTCGTACGGTAAGATTTTACCGGACCGGGACCGAACCGAATAGTGTGGATCTAGTCGTACGGTAAGATTTTACCGGACCGGGACCGAATAGTGTGGATCTAGTCGTACGGTAAGATTTTACCGGACCGGGACCGAATAGTGTGGATCTAGTCGTACGGTAAGATTTTATAGGACCGAGACCGGACCGGGATCGAACCAATATAGTGTGGATCTAGTCGTACGGTAAGATTTTACCGGACCGGGACCGAACCGAATAGTGTGGATCTAGTCGTACGGTAAGATTTTACAGGACCGGGACCGAACTGATATAGTATGGATCTAGTCGTACGGTAAGATTTTACCGGACCGAGACCGGACCGGGGCCGAACCGATAATGTGGATCTAGTCGTACGGTGAAAATTTACCGGGACCGAACCGATATAGTGTGGATCTAGTCGTACGGTAAGATTTTACCGGACACGGACCGATAGTGTGTATCCAGCCCGTTCGATATGGAGAGTTCGGCGATAATACCTAGACGCCTATCGAACGGGAGCGTTCACCGTAGAATGTCTTGTACAAATAAATAAGAGAGAAAACTGTATCCTACACCTTGTAACCCCACCTAATCCAATAAATCCTATCTATTCAACAGATTTCCTTGCATTTTCGCTTAACCATGGCTACAAGCGTCATATAAAAAAATTTTTTTCTACATCCCTACTCGCTTATACCACCAGTTACGAGACCCCCTGGAGAATAAAATCAGAGATCGCTAGTGCCCTTCAGGAATGGTCACAGAAACCGATACCGATTGTATTCGTGTTCCATAAATTAAAACTCGGCTTGTTTCGTTTTGTTTTGATCGACTTTTAAATCGCAATTTAAGCGCAATTAAAGTCAAGTTTCAATTACTCTGTTAAAGTTACTTTTACTGCAAATCATACGATTCGCTCCAGTATGTCAGCCACGAAGCGAATGGCGGCCTAGTTTTATGTATGAATGTTAAATAATTTAACCCTAATCACTTACACCTCTAAAAAATCACATTCCCTACACGGGGTCATATAGACCCTGGGCAACTTTCGATCGTTCTGTAACTCATTCTGAAACATTTTTAATACAGAGAAAATGGGGCGCACATGTTCCTGAGGTATTAAATTAATATAGAAATCTGAGAAAAATTTTGATAGTTTAAAAATCATAGAAAGACCACTTTTTCAATTTTGATTACATTTGGCTGAAATTTTATTTTTATCATCTAGAGACATCATATTTTGCGAAAGAAAGGTAATTATTTAGAAGTTGGTCCTCCTCACCAATTTTCGTGACCTTGAAATATGTTGTCAAGTTCATCATTTTGAACAACTTTTCCCTATACATGTTACCGCCGCTCGGCCTTAGTTTCCGAGATATATGCAAAAATCTTTAGTTAAACTCAGATTACGAGTACCACTGTATTCCGGGAAAAATGGAGACTGAATGGTGATTGAAAGAGTAATTGAAGTGGTTCATTGATTTTTGATTTTTTCACGTTATAATTACACTTTCTTTCACTTTTTATATATTGTATACCTATTATTCATTTTGTGTTTTGTCAGAAATCGGAAACATTTCGCCCATCATGTCGAAAAATGCCATTATACGCTCATTAACATCATGTTGACGTCGGAATAAAAACTCAGCTATATATTCCACGTAATGAGACGTACGAGTTCCATAACGAGGAATATTAGCTCTCGTATCACGCCATGTACGCAGTAAACCTAAACCTAACCTAACCCTAACCCTAACCTCAAACCACTTCAATCACTATTCAGTCTCCATTTTTCCCGAAATACAGTGTACTAGTGACATAAGTATAAATGCAGTTTTTTACGAATATCTCGGAAATTAAAGCCGAGCGGCCTTAAAAGTTGTTCAGAATGATGACCTTGACAACATATTTCAAGGTCACGAAAATCGGTGAGGAGGACCAACTTCTAAATAATTACCGAAAAAAATCTTGAGAGAAAAACCTAGTGAATGATTAGGGTTAAGCATCATGTTTTTGATTAATAGAAGAACCGATAATTAGTATTTCTTCGCCGCAATATTTTTCGCCGTTAGATCCTCCAAACGTCGCACTATGCATCGGCCGAGAATACACGAAATAATTAAGCACGAACCTTGATGAAGCAGTCGTTGAAGGACAAATTGTGCCTCAAAGAGTTCTGCCACCTCCTGGTGTCCTTCCTGTAGTAGGGGAATCGATCGGCGATGAATTTGTAGATTTCCGCGAGGGGTAACATTTTATCCCTCGACGACCAAATCGCCATCGCGGTCAACGAGATGTAAGAATAAGGTGGCTTTTGATCGCCGTAAGTGTCCCTCGACGGCCGAGGCATCTTTATCTCCTCTCTCCCACGCTCACCCACGCCTTCGGTATCTCTTTCGATCCTCACCCACCCTCTCTTCTCATCGGGCACGATTGTCGTCACATTTTATCTTACATTTTCTTCGTCTTTTCAAGTGAAACCCGCCGGGAACCGTTGATCCTGAATATATTGAACCAGACAGGAGTCTCGGTTTTATTCAATCAGGATCATTTTAAATGATCGTTTCGACGATACCCGATCAGTTAATTCGATCCTGAAACAATAAACATAAAATTTTGTTTATTAAAGAAAAAAGTTCCTTTGATATTTTGTTTTATAGACTCGCGGATATAGATTACAGCGGATAATTATTAATGAAATTTATTCGAATCTTCTTGTATGCACAATCTTTCTTATCCGACGCGGTGATCGTTAAGAGTGCCTCGAGATAATTTGCATAATACCGATGGAATTTATAATCGGAGCGAGTTCGAAAGTAAGGCGATACGCGTTAAGCAGAAAAATATCGCCTCCATAAATATGTAACCTGAACTGAACATTTTTCTGAATTTCTATTTAAAGTTATTCGAAAATCGGACACGTGAGTCGATTTAATATAAAAAGATAATCAAATGACCTCGCGTGTCTGTATAATTTTATGTTTATTTACTAATGAAGTACGGTGAAACTAATTAGTTCCATTTATGCCGACATGCAAGGATATTGATTTTTCTTTTATTTATCCAACCGACACGTCATTCTCCAACAATGGTACACGATTTACACGTGTCATCGATTCTAATTTGTAATTAGAAGATAACAAAAGAAGTAATCGAAAGGGTTAAAGGAGCGGCGCGTCGAAGAAACGTGTAACTTAATTTTTCGGTAAAACGCCGCGTAAAATATGCAATTCTTCGGTTCGATTTTTTTTTCTTTCACCACCGATACAGTTCAACTACTCGATCGTAGGTGTCGGACATACATGATTCATGAGGAACGTTCGCCAGAGGTTTGGGAGGGTCCAGGTTCGGAGAATTTAGGGTTCGAAAGGTGGTTCGTTGCGGCGAAAGAAGGCGGAAGAATAAACGAGAACTGTGAAAAAGGGGCAAACAAATTACAGACAACAAAGGACGAGCAAGGCTGAAGAAACCTTTCGGATTAACCCTTTCGTAACAGCACGTCAAATTTAAGTTAGCGACCGGATCAAGTACTCCGTTTGCTTAAAAATCGTCGAATAAACAGCTGTGAATCATTGTTGCGTTATTTCAAATAGAAAATGAAAGAGTATCGAGTTGCATATGAAAGATAGAAACTCCGACTGCTTTGATGACATAAAACATCACCGATATATCAATTTGAAGTTTAAACTTAACATAGAAAGGCTGATTGTTGGTTGTCGCGTATCGTGACAGAAATACTTAATTATCGTTGAATAATTCAATAATTTTGAAAGAACAAACACAATTTTAAATTGCTTTTCAATATTTTATCCATAATTTACACAAAGAATTTATCAGGAAAATTCTCCTTTCCCAGTATTTATCTTTTTGAAATTAGAATTCTTTTTTCTCAAAGAAGAACAATGATGCGCAAATGCGAGGGTGGACGGTTCAACGTTCACGAAACAAGACGGAGTTCGTGCCGAGGGATAATGAATGTAAAATGATATGAAAATCGCGAGATCAACTCGACCGTGGCTAACACGAAAGGTAACTGCGGGAAATAAAGTTTCGAATCGCGGGCATAACATCGGTCGACGCGACACGAACAACTTTTCCTACCAACGATAGGAAGTCATTTAACAATTAGCAGTCGCGTGAAAATACTGGCTGTTGTGTAACGAAATTTAAATCCTTCCATTCGTTCGTCACGAGAAGAAACAGGTACAACTGCGATTGTTTTTACACCGATTACCGTTTGGTGTAAAAAACATTCCCTCGGTTTGTCTGAAATTAAGTTAAATCAAATCGAACATACCTATTGCCATAACGTGGCAAAAAGGGGCTTGAAAACTTGGAATTGACGCAATACAATTCCTGCGACAATCAACTGAGATTTCTTCAAAAAGTGCCACAAAAATTTCAATTTTTATTGAAAAATCGACTGTTTTTCACCGACTTTATTCACCGTTGCACAATCGTGGAACTCGGTAAAACGAAGAGTCTGAAAGGAGAATTAAATTCTTCCCCGGAATATCGAATTCTTTAACCTTAACATTTTTTCGAAAACACAATTACAGTTTAAAATTCATCGTATTCGAAGGTCCTCAGGTTTCCTGGTTTATCGATTCTTCGGCAAATACCATAAACATCATCGAAGGAACAATATTACAATTCGAGAATCGATATTGTTTAAAGAATTTTTCACTGCACAGAATTATTCTTCCAGTTCATCGTTTAATTTCAACGAACACCCACGGCGGATGAATTTTCTTAGGCGACGAGAGTCCCGGTTACCGGAAGCGACACGAATGATCACGCGGCCGGAAAGCGAACACTGGAAAACCGGAAGAGAGGAGGAAAATCGAGCAACCAACGTCGCGTCTCCAGGGACACTGCGCTCAAACGATACCCACACTCCCGATGCGAGTGCACACCCCCACCCGTCGCCCATTGGTCCAGCCGACGTTCGGCATTGGCCCGCCGTGACTCCGCCCGCTCCGCTGCACTGGACGCCCGAATCAATGGGAGGTCCCGCCTCCCTACCCCATTCGCCTCCTAGTAATAATTATTTTTTTCGGACCGTACGTTCGTTCTCCGTCCTTTCCTCGCGGACGGGAAGGAAATGTTTAAAAAACATATGATTCTAAACGGGAAAAGTTAAAATAAATTTTTAGATTTTGCATTGGGCGGTTTGGTATCTAAAAATCTGAAATACAAATTATTTAAACATTAAGTTTAATTTTTTCATTATTAAATTAAATTAAAATATTAATTCAAAGTATTAAAAATCGAAGTATTATTTATTTCATGTGGAAATGATGAAATTTTCGTTTCATTTAAAAGATCGCAATTTTATCAATTTTGCCAAATTTAGAGCAGCCAAAATTGGGAACTGCACGTCCCATATTGAAATGTATCAGTAAAATTTCCGAGTATTTCCATCTGGTAATACAAGCAGATATTTATGAATTAACCGCATTTCTGAGACTCTGAACGGTAGGGTGTAATTTCTCTTATCTACAGAATCATCCATTCATTTCAACGCGATGTGCCTGAAGAAAGCCTAAACACGGTTGTTTTTCCTTCTCTCCAAGTACCATCGATCTTAATTTATTCGCATTCGCTATGCCGCTCGGGAAAATCGGAATCTTGCGATTAACTCGAAACCTGCTCGTTAATTTAGCAATGATGTGTTTATTAATTGTAATAGCTGATAAAAATGTATTTTTCTTTTTTCAATTCAAGATTTATTTGAAAAAAATCGCGGTAGCAACTTGCGATTGAATATTTGTAATTTCAAAAATTTAATTCTGTGCCTCTTCTTTTTTCAATTTAAGATTTATTTAGAAGAAATCGGCGACTGAATATTTTTAGTTTGCGTTATCAATCGATTTCGATTAGCGTATAATTCGAAAGGAAGGAGAATAACGAGACAGGGTTGGTGAAATCCTTTCTGCAGGAACGCCTTCGTATTTGCACGAGGTGCTCGAACGGTAACCATGAATGTCATCGTGACGAGCGCGTTATTAGATAGCGAGATGACTTATCTCAACCCTTTTATCACACCTTCAACTACCGTTCTTCGTTTTCTTATTCTACTTTTCAACGAGTTTCATCGTTACAAATAGGTACTCCTATTTTCAACCTTCCTAAGTGACTCGTACAATTTATTTCATCTTTCCTCTCGCTCCTTCTTCCTTCTCATTTACCTTAATTAACCCTTTCGCTACGGCGGACCTGCCCGCGAATGCGGTATCCCTAAAGCTGCGTATACATTTGTTACTTAACACGTCGACTGCCACGGTGAAAATGACCATTTGTTGTGGAAAACTGTAATTATTAAACATAGGAATAGTTAATTTTCAAATTTCAAATTTCCAACATTCTGTTTACTATTTTACTATGTTATTTAAAATAATATCTTTCTATTATTTTCTTTTAATTATTTAAGCATGCGTAATTTCCGGAGCCGGTCACCCCCATGGCACTCATGGCGTTAATCTTCTTACTGACACTCGTCACTTCGTTTTTTCCATAAATATCTGAACACCTGAAAAATTTAATTTACATCAATTTTATTAGTATTATTTGTTAACAGACATGACATACATTGTCCAAGAATAACATTAAGATAATAAATCCATTGAACGAGCTGAATTTGCAAGATATTTAGACAAAATCCGCAGATATGGAAGAGGGTGTATGTTTTGTTACCTACACCTGTTCCAGTTGTCTGTAAACTCTGTATGCGAAAAGATGGAATTAACCCTTTCACACCGGACGGGACATATGCTGTCCCGGTCTGAAAAATTTGCGAAATTACGGCTGGGACAACATATGTCCCAGTTACAGTAATGCACGGTTAAATTTCACTAAAATGCGTCTCTAAGACCTTCAGCCTTTCAAGCAGACAAGTTATTTCATCGTAATAATCACCCGGAGGAGAAATAAGTGTTCCCGGTAATGGGGCGCACTCGAACTGATTTTTTTGCCGTATTGAAAGGGTTGAAAGCAGCTGCAGCAGCCTATTAGGTTTAAAAAGTCGGAGAAAGAAGTCGCGGAAGTGATGGCAAACATGGAACTTTTTAAATTTGTTAAAATGTAAATGATGTTTGGGCTTCCAGATTAACACTAGAACTACCAACATTTAATACACATTAATTTCTAAGTCGAAAATAATACAAAAAATTAAATAAATACGGGATGAAGCGTATCCATTCTTTATCTCGACAATAGCCAACATAGGTGGAGTTCCCCTAGTATCGGACATTAGCTATATCTAAAAGAACTGAAATGTGACAAAATTGTTTCAACCATCAATTGTTTGTTTTATCCTCCTTTTGACAGTTGAAACAATTTTGTCACATTTCAGTTCTTTTAGATATAGCTAATGTCCGATACTAGGTGCCGTCCGGTACTAAGGGAACTCCCCCACATTCCAGCAAAAATACCTTGATGAAATTTGTAATTTGAAATAAAAAAACTGGAAACCCTTTGGGAGTTCTAGTGTTAATGATTTTATTTCTATTAACTCCATTGAAATTTCCTTAGGCCACTCCATAATTAACATAAAACAACACAAAAATTGCCCGTATAAGAACCGAGACTTACGCACTGGTTAATTCTGCTCGTTGAATAAATCTTTAAGGAATAGACAGGATTTTTTTATGTTTTATCCTGAAGGTCTCGTTACCTGTTTTGGAAAGGGTTGCTATTCCGATAATTCATCGATACAGCCGAACCAAGTACCGAGTAACGGTATGAAGTAACAGGACACAATGTACATTTGTATTTATATTATTGATTCCAGTATTTTATTGACTTTTAATACCATCTTATAGGAATTGAATAAGTTTTAAGTTTGGGTTAAGATTGACGATTTATCCTTCAATATTACCACTTAACATATTTGGGTGACACTTCAATTGTCAAAGGAAGCTATTATCTATACTATTAGGAATTTGGTTAGTTATTTAATTAGAAACATTTTTATTAGGAATTTGAAATAACGGATAATGGGAATAATAAAATATTCGGAAAATAATGAATAAAATTTTTAAACAAATAAAAATATGTAATGAAATTTTTGTCCTAACGCGGAGCACTACTGTCGGCACTTCGTCTCTCTCAAAGCTATTTCGCTTTCCGACTTGATAAAAAATCGATGTTGCAACTTTCTCCGGGTGTTTTTTCAAGATAAAACTCTGCTCTATCGAGTGGTATAATTCGATTTTACGCCGGACCTCTACTTTTTCAGATAAATTGAAAAATATCCTAGAAAATTGCTGCCAAATCGGGGTCCCTCCGCGTTCAATGATCGCTTAAACATATATAAACATTTATAATGTATTAAAGATAGGTATCGTTGTATTCAGGAAAGTCTACAGAATCTTTTAGTATAAATAAAATTTCAATATCTTTTATAATTACGTCAGAAAATTTGTTTAAATCTGAAAAACATGTGTTTTTTCAAAATCAAATTTCTCAGAAACTGTACGTATAAGAGCAAAACGGTTTGTAGATTCGTAATCAGCGTACAAAACACTATAAGAATCGTCTAGTGGGGATCGGAACACAAAAGAAAAGTTAAAATTTGTTGGACAGTGTAATAGGTTGATCTTTAAATTCAATTTATTCAATATTAGGGTGTTTGCATTTTATTTCACAGTCGATTTCTTTTGAAGTAAGATAATTTTTTATAGTATTTATTGAAAAATTTTCTTTAGAAATATTTCATATTTCTAAATAATATATAATACTTTATATTTTATAATAATTGAATTAAATCGGGCTCCTTTCAACTTAACTGAATTAGTTTCGGGTTTTAATGTGGAGTATTATTGGGGAAGATATATAATAATTATAATAGTAATTTTTTTTAATTATGGTTATTCGGATTTTACATTAATAATAATTTTTTTTTGGCCAGGTAACAGATCGCGGTAACGTTTAAAAAATAATAAATAAGAAACAAATAACAATCTCGTGATATAAAATAAAAGAGAAACGAAATATAAGAAATCGGCAACTATAGAGATAACATGCATATTCTGCTCTATTAAAGTTAAAAAATAAAAATAACAAAATAATAAATAAGAAACTAACAGCCTCGTGATATAAAATAAAAAAGAAATGAAATATAACAAATCGAAAATATAAATAATTCTGTTCCACCAAAGTTAAAAGTGAACGCGAAATTTACCGGGTGACTGAAATCACCGTCAGTGCACATCGAGGGTTATACGTCGCCTATAGTCACCGTTAGTAGCGAAAAGGTTATAAATTAAGCATCGAAATCTTTTTTACTCGACTTTTCCGAACAACGAACGATGACTAGGTAGATTTAATTTACGAACGAAACAATGCCGAAGAAACCAGTCCCGTGGCGTGTTTAATAATTCAGAACGTCAATGTGGCGATGTACGAGGAAAGTAGCGAGTAGAACGGACCAAAAAAAAATTGATCGAGCATGCACGTTAAGTGTTGTAAAAAAGGAGAAGCAAAACGAAAGCCGCTTGTTGATTAACGATAAAGGGTCATTATCAACGATAATGGCGTAATAAAAGCTTGCCACAAGTTAACGAGACATGACAGAGCCCGCTTACAGTGTGCCAATGTAGCAACCGTACGCGTTTACAGAATTTCTGATTTTATACCGGGTGGAAGCGAAGTAACCGGTCGCTTAAAATTTCGAACACCACCGACAGTGATAATAAATTCAGAATGTGTTAAGATGTCCCAGAAACGAGTTATAAAAGTTTCATTTTACAAGGGAACCGATTTCTCGTTGGCGCAAAAACACACACTCGATTCTCCCTATTAGGGGGACGTTTTTCACCCCTCTTACGAATTCGCATCGCCACCAGTCTCTTTATTGTTTTTTTCCCCGATTACTCCCCCCCCACGCTTCGAATTTCTACGATCGCAATAGGCGTGGCGATCGTCCAACCACGTCTCTCCCTGAACGGTCGTCCAATGGGGGGCGTGGCTTAACGCGCCGCGTCCTTGTTCAGCTCGATGCACCGCCATCGATGCTGGCCACGCCCACTGCTCGCGACGAGCCTTCTCCTAATAGTGGGCGGAGCCTCGACTATTCGATTCTCGTCGCGTCGGTTCTTCGACTATCCATAAAAAGTTTCGCCGATGAGAAAACGTGAATATCATACTCGAAAAACTTGCGAGCAGGCGCGAAATACGTATTTTGTTGGATCGATGAAGAAAACGTTTATTCAAAACACACTTGAAAATTGATCTTAAAATTGGAAATTCGTGTGAAATTCGTTTTCAGATATTAGTTTTTTAAAGTAGATAAATTGCATAGGATAGATATATACAGTTTCAAAAAAAACTTCAACGTATTTCAATAATTCTTGTTATAAATTGAATTGGAGGAGCAATTTCCTGAACCACCATATTACCAGACTCCAGATGTCCATGGTGTTTCTCCGCGGCTCGTATCCGGTTAATGGATTGCTTGGTAGCGATCGTTCGCTTACCTGTTTAGTACCAGGCTGATCTTTCCCAACCCTCGACGAGCAGCCAATTCGACGAATTCAATAACTCACCTCTCGAGTCTCTCCCTCCATACTAGGAGGACCGTACCCAGCGGAGAATTCCGATTGGTCGTACGGTCGCGAACGGCCACGCCTCCTCGAATGGCTTGCATCCCCGATGCACCGTCGATTCGCGAACGCGGTGTTCTTCGCGCTTCAGAGAACCGGATCTTTGATCTGCGCACGCTCGCGCCTACGCGGAACAGCCTCCCAAAGTCGTACGAGAGCGACAAGAAAAGAGAATGATCGTTTTCCTGTCGAATCCGCAAGAATCGCTGTGCAATCAATCCGCTCCAATTTTTTTTTTTTTTAGACATTATGGTTTATAGTGTTTGAGGTTTCAGCCGTGTCCAATAGGAAAATGTCCTCTATATTTTATTGTACAGAGATTATTCGGAAATTCCGTTTACGAGGGTAGTGATTTTCTCCTGAAAGATCTTGAAAATTATTTTTTTGAAACAGGGATATTGGAAATAAAATTCACGCTGTTCATTATTAGCAATACATATTTCGATTTTTACAGAAATGAATGATAAAAATAAAGATAAATGTAGCAGTTATATATTATTTGATCGTTTAAACACTTTTGCAAAATTATGAGTCGAATCCAAGAATTGATTGATACTTGAAACATATTGATTTAAATACATCAATACTTTTACTCATAAATAGTAAATAATTTGGTTTCTTTTACGTAGCACTTGCGAAAAAAACAGTGTGTATAATTAAGCATTTTAAAAAACACTGTTTATGCCATCTACCAAGTAGAAACTAAACACAATAGTTTCAAAGTCGATGTTTTAAATTTCGATACTAGCGCCATCTATACAGAAACGGCTGAAACTACTCGACGACTCACAGTGGGGTATTTGGCCCGAAAAGCCGGAGAAAAGTCATTTCACGCAAAATGTGAAATTTTTACTGCCTAATAAAGTTGAATGTATGAGGGACAATGTACCAATGTTCGTTTTTTGGCTGAACTTTAACTCAGGGGCCCAAAAATTATGGCCTTTTTTTTTTTACCTTCTTGAAGTTTTTAACGAGTAGAATCTAAAAATCCTAGTTTTAAGGCGCGGAATCCATCGGTTCAGAAGTTATACGTGTGTAAAACTGAACGTTTTTGGCATATTTTACATGTTACTTCGACGCCATATTGACTTGTAACCTGGTGTCGTCCAATGAGTGGAGTCGCCGTCGGTGAAACAGAATTATGTACATAAGTGGCGGCCTAAACCCGGTATACCTAAGGTTAGTTTTTTTTTTATAAACAATATCCCCTCGGATTTAATAGGAACTGATGGTACTTACACTCAACGAATAGAGTCCAACTGGCGGTCGGCAAAGGATCGGATGCGGGGAATAACCTGTCAAATACGCTAAAAACGCTCACTTTTACACACGTATAACTTCTGAATCGATGGATTCCGCGCCTTAAAACTAGGATTTTCAGATTCTACTCGTTAAATATTTCAAGAGGATAAAAAAAAAAAGGCCATCATTTTTGGGCCCCTGAGGTAAAATTTACCCGAGCATCAAAAGGTAGAAGGTTTACGCTTCAAAATGGTAGTTGTTTCATTAATTTTGGATAAACATTGATGAAGTTATGGAAATTTAAAGATTGAGCCAATTTTAAAATTGTTATGTCCGGCTTTAACCGATCCAAAGCTTTTCACCGACTTATCGACTGACTTTACGGCAGTCGGTAAGTTACCAGTAACAGTATAGGTCACTCTCTCTAACAGCGAACTTAGAAACTAACAAAATAGAAAATTTCAATTTTTTGGCAAAATAAAGAACTTTTGAGCTTTTCCAAGACCGTCAAATTATTTTTTTTTTTTAGTTATTATTCACAATTCTCATAAAGCCTTCTTTTGTTTTTTCACTAAATCATGGAGAAATAGACAGGCACTACATACATTCGTACAAAATAAAATCTCTATATCGATGAACCATTGGTAACTTTCATGTTTTCCTGTCAAATATTGTGTATATGTGTACTGCGTACTTACTAACATTGGTATATGTATATCATTTGAGTACTGGATCAAGTCTTTTGTTTACCAATTACTCGGGCAACTAAGAAAATTATAATGAGTGACGATGATCGAGACATCGACATTGAGAGTGATGTAAGTTCTTAAAAGCGCTCCTTCGATGAGTGTTATTAAAGACATCGTTTTTCAGGAAGGCGATGATTCTGACTCCAGGCAAAGGCATTCAAATAATACTCAATATTATTCCCAAGTATGTTCCTTCTTCCTTCTTATTTCGATTCATCTTATAAAATAAACTTCTTTGTTTATTCTATGATCATCAATTGATTGCCAGTATGAGAATAATATTTGTAAAACATTGAATCTATATACCTTTGAGGTTAAATAGACGCTTTCCACTTAATTTACCTTATAGATAGCAGGAAGCACCACTTTCCTTCTAAACGTATTGCTTTTTAATGCTTTAAGTGAAATGAATATTATATTTATGTATGTTATAGTTTAAAAAAATCATTTCCTATTGCAATTAGAAAAACAAGGAGAGAATATGTGTGATTTTAGGCAGAGAAACGTGCCCATCATAATGCCTTGGAACGTAAACGCAGAGACCACATTAAAGATAGTTTCTCGAGTCTTAGAGATTCTGTACCTGCATTGCAAGGGGAGAAGGTTGCGAGTAGAGCACAAATACTCAAAAAGGCTGCTGAATATATACAATTCATGCGCCGTAAAAATTCTTCCCACCAACAGGATATCGATGACTTGAAACGGCAAAATAATCTCTTGGAGTCTCAAAGTAATTATCGACCTTATTTGCATTTCGTACATACATAGATGTTTCCAATTCGTCTGAATATTATTTCAAAACAGCTTACAAACAAACTACAGTTTCTTTTCCATTAGTTACCAATCAATTCTTACACTGTATCAAAATATATTGTTCACAGTTCGGGCGCTTGAAAAAGCAAAGATGACAGGCAATTTTGCAGCAGAAACTTGCGAGGTCACAAAGTCAGAAGGTGTACCTATGTCGGGGTACAATGATACAGAATCTGAATCATCTGATAGCGAAGCAAGCAGGACTGTGCGTCAAACGAAAAAGCTAAAAGTCGGAGGTCTTCATCATTGACCAATACTTTGATTCGGTTTTTGTTTTTATAAAAACTATTTTGGTTCACAGTTCAACTCCATATAAATATTTATTTAAAAAAAGAAAAAAGGAGGAGAGCAATTGCTCACTGAAGTACAAAGAAATCTTTCAGTGAAGTTTTGAATGTTTTAGAGCCAGTGTACAAAAATATACAAAGTATAGGTAATATTATTGTTTAACTAAAAAATCTATAAAATAGTGCATTGTGAATACTTTGGTATAATCTTGTGAAATATTCAATTTATAAATTTATAGAAGATTCGAAACCATTTTGTTGATCGAATAATCGTTTGATGCAAGTTTATATTGTATAATAATATTGTCAAATACTTTTACTTATCTTTGAAATCGATTGTACTGGTAAAATAATCTCTTATTCGAGTTAATGGAAATAAGATTCTTTTCACTTACTTTATTCATACATTTTTAAGGAATGCAATATAATTTTTTATCAGTTACAATTTCTGATTTAATTCCATTTTCTTATAAGTATTTGTTTTTAATTATTTATATTAATCATTATTTAGTCAGATCATCGACTAAATACATGCTCAATTGTAATATTTACAATACATTTAAAATTATGTTGTCGTTTAAATAAAAGTTTAATTATATTAATGAAAATTTTATTATTAGAAGTATAATAAAAATCGTAAAATTCACTGTAACGATTTCATTGTTTTTTAACCTTGACATTTTGTTTCATAAGCATCAGAGAACCAATAAAATTTTATATTTCATTAATTTTAATTTCCCATAATTCACGATTATCATTTAAAAATAGTACGCGGATAATGACGTAATGAAACGCAATAATAATAAACTTAAAATCCCTAGTTGTACCACATCATAATTCTATGAATTCAAAGATCAAGAATTGTCAAACTACATTAATTAATTAGAATATTAGTTTAGATATTAGTGTACGAGTTGTAACTTAAAATTAATTAGTCGATAATCAATTTCCACAGCTGGAAACGTATAGTTACATAAAATACTAGATATAAGCGCTTAAATATACGATAATAAAGGTAATGTAATATAGTATGGTATACTTATGTTTATTAACAAATATATATATATATATAAACTATAAATTTAAGGGATACATGTTATTAAACAAATGCACATATCCAATACCCGCGTATACATACATACATGCATGCATTATGTATCAAACGCGACAAATTTTATTGAAAACACTTAAAATTTAACGACTTTTTTAAATGCTACGATATTTTGATATGGAATTCATGTGTAGATTTGTATTCTATTTCAAATACAAATACTGTTATGTAACAATTATTTTTCGTTTTTTATACTTTATTCTTTTCACAGATTTCATAAACAGTTGAATGATTGACCTTGACAGTAGAAGTACCTATTATTGTATTGTTATTTTACATTATATATTAAACAACACCAAATATTTTAACAATAATAGTACAGCAACAGAAGAAAGCATGATTAGAAAGCATTGCCTTCTAAACATTCACAATGTATTGAAAAAAAATTTCTGATGATTCATTAATCAAAAAAAAATATCTTTTTTAAATATTATTTATACAAATAGAAAATATTCTATATAAATTATTAAATTTTGAAATATGTAAATACAAAATGTGTAAAAAATCAAATAACCATATGTTTTGTTAAACCTTGTTTTAGGGTTATAATTACTTTTATATTTTATAAATTTTTAACAATGCAAATGGATATAACTAACCTCTGTTCAGTTGTTTGGAAATAATACATAAAAATAAACAATTTTATTGTTTTATATTACGAAAAAATGTATGAAATAGATAGCTACCTATTTTACTACAAAGTAAGGAAGTGCAGTATATTTAATATAATGTTAGAAAATAGCGTAATAATTAACAAAACCATAAAACAGTCCTCACGCCATAATTAAAAATCATACAGAATTTAACATATTTTTGAAATAATACTTCATCATCGTGTAATAAATAAATCAAAATTACAAACGAAAAAAGTTCATTTTTATATTTTAATTACCAATGCTTACATGCATTAACTGTTCTATTAAATGCAATCTTGAAAATTAGTTTGATAAAATATATTTACCATGCAACATGCACTTAAATGCAATAGCATACAAATGGCCTTTTAAATTTTATAATCATAAACTTAATAATTTAATGTTTTATTTACAGCGTAAAATTTTAATTTTTTTTTAATATCCACTGTAAGTTACTATATACATGCATATGTACATAAATATATACATACATACATAAAATGAAAGGGTAATTTCTACACATACAAGAAAAAATACATCAATATGACTTTTCGCGAAACTATAGGAAACTTCTTGATATTTAACACTGATTATTTCATTTATTCGTATCCATTATATTAAATCTTTTATGAATATAGATTTTATGAAGACGACAAATTTTATACAAACATGCAAATGTTACATTATACTTTTGTATATACATTTTCCCACAAATTTAGGTTATGGATACCACACGAAAAACTACTTTCCAACTAGTCATTCCAACATTACATTCTTACACGTATACATTTACACCTTACAGCAAAGTTGCAATAAGAATAAGAACGAAATAAACGATTTTTTAACTTCTGACAGAAAGTTGCAATTAATTCATGTACAATTTCTCTTATTAAGCCCACGTTATATATAAAGTTTATGATAATTAATTTGGAAAGTAATAATCATAATGCTTAATAGAGCTGTGAATCCCTATTCCGGTAATAAAAATTCGTATGATTATTATCAATTGTAGCATACATATGTTTTTCTGTATGATTAATTAAAAAAAAAAGATACCTTTGTTTACGTATATGTATATATTTATATGTATTTTTATGAGAATACATATATATATACATAGAAATCATACAAATAAAGTCATATAGTTATATTATCCTTATCATGTTGGTAATATAAATTCATTTTACCTAACTTCATTTCGTAGGTACATACGAATTGCTTTATAAAAATAAACACATCTGAATAAATATTTATTAAAAATTATATGAATATTTAATTCCATTTTAATATATTTCGCATTTTTATTTTAATATAAAATATACTTTACATAACACATTCAATTACACAGTTTTAGGTATTACAGATTACATTATACATTGATTATAAAACATTCATGATATCTAAGTACGATGAATTCAACGAATCGTGTATTCAAATATTGAAAGGTAGTTTGATCGTTGATTAGAAACTGTCATTAAACGATTCGAATGAAAATGTTATCGTACTACGAGTTTGACATAATTTTTAGAAGATAATGTATTAGAATAAGAAAGAATATATGTATAAGAATATCCATGTGTAATGGGAGTTTCAAAAGATTATTTAAAGCGATAGAGAAGGAATTAAAACGTAAAAGAAAAGTGTAAAGTGAAGTTAGCTACGAAATATTCTCGGATTCGATTCGAGCGCCGTTTGATCAGCGGTGGGGATAGAAGGGAGGTGTGGTAACGGTTAGGAGTCGAATCCAACCACGAGAGGAGCTAGTAGCGTTTGCCTAGCAGTATGAGGCGGCGTGGGGCTAGGGACGATGCATGGGCTGCGACTAGGAGGCACTTGGGAGGTAGGGAGGGCATGCGAGCAGAGCACAGTTCAGTAGTCGCCATTGCAAGTCCCCCGTGCTCTCGTATTCGTGACACTCGGACGCGTGGAGCCGATTTTACGCTAACCTAATCTCCCCGCGAGGGCCCTAAGTGTGCCCCCCCGATGCAGAGATATTGCACCGAGCTCACCGAAAGATTGTTGAAATCTCTTGATAAGGAATACAATGTAAGTAGCGGAATGAATCCGCGATGCGCCGTCCGTCCGTTCACGCAAACGGCTATCGGGCCACTCTCGATCCCCCGTGCGCCGTGTGCCTGTACCAGTGGCGTGCGCGAGAGTCACTGAGAATGTAGTGTAGCGGCGGCTCCGCGTGTGAGTGAGTAATACGTTTCTTGTGTGTACGTATGATGCCAGTCGACAAATCTTCTCTTTACACGAGTGTGTGCAACATTCAACGTAAACGCGTTGTCGACTACCTGAAGCATAACCTCAATATCCCAACGAAATGTTTCAAACAGAATAGAATTCTTCGAATCACCCTTTCTTTCCACTTTTCAGTCTCTTCTTTATTTCAGATTTTCATATAACCACTTGCATCACCCTAAATCATGTACCGCATTATTTTCAAACTTTTCTCATGTATTTTCAGTATTAACAGTCTCACAGTTTTCCTTGGATTTCTATTGAGAAATATGATCACATCCGTCAAGTCTGAAACGTTTCAGATACATTTCATATCTATGGCCCGATTGCCGTTTTATCATCGAATCCTTCCCATCGACTGTAATAAAATTATGTTAAACGTACCGTTGCTGTAGATTTAGAAAATGTCTATAGACACGTGTTGATTATTTTCCATGTTGCAGTTTGTTCATTTCTTATACTGCGTTTAAGATAAAAGTCCTATAAAATTGTATCAAAATGACGAAATTATATTATTATTATTATTAACTGTTTTCCTTTGCAATTAGAACAGTATGATTTTTATATTGAAATTTATTTTATTGTAAAATTGACGTTTCTGTATAAATAAAAAAGGAAATCAACAAAATATATTTCACTGTAGTAAATCAGTAACTGATTTTAAAACAGATGTAGATTGTAGATGTTGATTTACCAATGATCACAAACTTGTGTACATTAATAAAGGATTATATTAAGATTATTTAATTTAACTATTAAATTGAACCCTTTTTAATAATTTGTTCAACTCTATAAAAATAAATTAATTTAAATGGTAACATGCTAAATATTAATATACAAAGTAGATCATGCAAGATTTATGCACTGAAATGTAATTATATGTAGTAACGTGTTACACGGAATCAAATCTTTTAATATAATACTATGTAATAATATAATAATGATATTTGAATTTCTTATACGCTTGGTCAAAAGAAAATGCGGTAAAAATTACTTTTAAATCAATAAATTAAGTGCATACAATGTTTTATAGACATAAGATGATATAGATGTATCACAATGTTTACAATAAACTAATTCATTATCAAAATTTGTCAGGTCATCGACATGGGAGCTGTTGTGGATGTCATTACGGCCCTGGAAAAGACGGCGATCACAAAGGAGGTACTTGAGGTAAAGACCTTTTGAGTATGATCTAATAAGCGTGTTTATTTTAAGGAATTCCAAACAGTACAGCAGCTTTATGGTATCAGATTGTTTTATCAGATTGCATCATTGTTTCTTATTTGAATACTGTATTATCTAATTATGGGAATGCATTTGATTACTTCAGATTACAAGACTTGGAAAGTATATTAATGAACTTCGACGAAAAACAAATAACGATGCCTTGGCTAAACGTGCGAAGGATTTGGTACGACGTTGGCGCGATATGGTTCTGCCTTCTGCTCATTCTACTCCACAACCGACACCAGCTGATACAGCACCACCAGCTCTTAACGGAGCCAAGCCACATAGTCCTGCGTTAAGATGTTTAAAGCCGCAAAGTCCAGCATTGAGAGGTGTGGTGGTCCCTCCTCAAAGTCCATTGTTGAGGGATACCACTCCGCTCAGAGTAAGTTATTAACAGTTTTTCTTCGTCTTGCGTTGTTTAAACTTGCATAATCTTATGATATATTGAAAAGCTGTGACGTACACTTTGATTTTCTGTGAAAATTAACTTGGATAGATGCGTATATCTTCTACAAAATTCAGCGAAAGGTAATTAAAACGATGCCTGTAAATGTTATATTGTTCCAATTGCAGGTGCTTAGCCCAGTTTTATCAGTGCATAGTGATCATTCGCATTCTCCTAACGCATCGTCAAATAAGCAGTCAATTACAGTGACCAGCAACCACAGAACAAGTTCTGATGTGCCACCCACGCTTGGTTCTTCGAGCCAACATCATCCAATGGAAGCAGTGCCACGAACTCACAGTTCAAACAAACGTCTTCGAAAAGATGATTTTAAGGACCAACCTAGTTATCAACATCATGATTCAGACTCAATCACCGAAAGTGAATCCTTGGTTAAAAAGCAACGTCTAAACGGCGAGAATATAAGTGGTAATTTAAATTTGCAAGTGCCTAGCCCCACATTTAAAGAAAGAATCTCTGATCAGTTTATGGAGTCTTCCACCGATCCTGACGATTCAGGACCAAAGAAACGTGGTAGAAAGAAAGGCAGTAAATCCATGAAGAAGCCACCAGTCTTAGAGGATCGTGTAAAAGAAAAACTAGCTAGTATCTCAAGAAATCCTAAATTAAAGACAACCCAAGAATTGCTGGCTGATCTACGGGCACGCGGCACCAATTCTAGCGTTAATTCAAGTGCTCTACCTAGTCAAAGTGTAGAATCATCCGGCATGGAAGATATTCTGAGAAGTAACAATGAACAAGTATCAAAGTTCCTTCGTTGTCCTCAGAACAATGTATCCCATAGAAATACAGTTTCTGAAGCGTCGCCAGAAAGTCGGTTGAAGCCAACGGAAAACTGTCACGACGTACCATCTAAGTGCGAGGAATCAGGTGTAGTGTACAAAGAAAAATCAGTTGCAACTTTTCAAAAAAGCCAATCAGAGCAGTGTAAAGAGTTAACGGTCGAGGAAATACTGGCCAAGTTACCACCTATAGATCCGAGTTCGATCGACTGGAGTGAGTGTGATACTGAAACGACAGAGGATCAAAATAGTACTGAATATCCACCTAGACAAGTTACAGCTGAAGACATAGAAAGGTTACATTCACAGTGCGTTGAAGGACTGAACGGAAACTTCCAACCAAAACTATCGTCTTTAACTTCTTGTAACGAAATACAGGATACGAACGAAGGAGTATCAGAAAACAATGGTGTAAACAATGTGTATAGCCAAAATGGCGAAGAGTTTCGAGAATGGCATCAGATGCTAGCAAGGCCCAGTTACGATGGCCAGATCCTCCACATATTGCCTTATGTTATTATTGATTAGTAATTTTATTATCTTATCCTATTATTATTCTCTCAAACTTGTGAAGATTCCCTGCAAATATTAAAGGGATTGATCGATGATCAATCTATTAAACCAATTTCTATTGCAACATTATGATTGCTCTTTATTTCTATAAATGTACACGTTACTACCACCCTTGTCATCACATAAAGACTCCCATTATTATTCAGTGAAGTAATTAGAATTTTTCAACGAGTCAATCAGAGTCTCGCTATATAGAAATAACTGGAAATCATTTCTAATATATGTATAATAATTACTATTGCTGACAACATTCTTCGTTGTTGCAATGGTTAATTGCTTTGTCAGTAATGATCGTTTTACTATTATGATTATCGTCGTTGTCATCATTGTCATCCTCATCGCCATCGTCGTAATTATTGTTATTGTTGTTATTATTCTTGCTGCTATTATTACTATTATCATTTTCATTATTATTATTATTATTAATTATTATTATTATTATCATCATTATTCATTGACACTGGAAGCATTTCTTATACAGAACTGAATACTTTGAATGATCAAAAGACATAATAATGGGCCTCTGAGATATTGTGTACCTCTAATGTCTGTAACAGTGTATCTATGTTCAAATCTCGTATGCTTCTTTTTGATATTACTGACTATACTCTAAACATTAGGAAAATTAATTCAAGATTTATGAACAAAATTTACACGGTTATTTATGTCAAACAAATACACTGTTAATGAAACAATAATGATTTTATTTATCTGGTGAAAGATAATAAAAATAAAAGGGAGGCATAAAATTCAAATCAAATAGCGCATTTTGGCCTATACGTAGGAGGAAAGAAAAATTACTTTAAAAATTAAGTATTAAAACCAAGGGTCACTTCATTTATCGTGAAGTATCATTTCGTTTGTTGAAACAAATATTATTTTAAGATATTCTCGAGGGATGATGTTGGAGGTGGAAAAAAAAAAAATAATAATAATATAAAGAATAATTATGGCAAAAGGTATGGTCGTACCACGCAAAGATAATGCTATAATAATTCAGATGCTTATCGATATGATATTTTGTTTATGGATTTAAAATATTTATTAAAATGTACAGAAACCATCACTTGAATATGAAAACTAATTTTTTGGGCGTGGTAAAAGTAGTCAAACCGAATATAACGGGGCCTTAATTAAAGTTTAAAAGTAAAAAAATGATATTTGTCTAATAAGGTATTATGTTGCATATAACTTGTAGCAAAGGTAACACGACTCGAGTCTGTTATCAATTTTTCTATCTCAATTTTATTTATACCACAGCAAAATGAAAGTGAACGATTGAAATGGACTTTTGTTTTAAGAAATTCAAGAAAAATCAGAATCGTATTGACGGGGAAAAAATGCGTTATGTGCAATGTCCAGCGTTCCAGTGCAACGTTTTTTATTTTTCTGTTTTTAAAAAAATAAAATAAGACATTTAGTTATTTGAAAATATGTAAATACTTGTATCGCTCGAAATTCCAAAGCACTGGAACCAAAATATACTAACATTTTCTGTAATAACCAAATAATATTGTGTTATGTAAAAAAAAAGAAAACAACAAAAAAAAAAAACAAAAAATGAAAGAAAACAAATGTACATATTGTGCAACTATACCGTGTATAATGAATGCTTTGTGAAACATTATGAATTAGAAAAGAAAAAAAATCTCTCATTTTATACGTGTTCATTTTTTGATAATAACAATCACCTTTGGTTTCACTTAATCGTTTTCCAATCAATTAAGATTTATACTAACCTTTTTCTAAGTGATCAGTGAGGAAAAGATGTAATAATTTGTCATTTTCAATTGAGCTTGATAAAAATGGTTAAAAGATAGTGAGATATTTCCAAAATTTAAATAATGTATATACGCATTTGAATAGTTTCTCGTGTTAATTGTCCACTTAATTATATTGATTAATATGCCTTGCTTTACAAATATATAATAAGTACCTATTTTGTTTATACAGATATTTGTATACCTTTGTATTTAAGATTAAAGACACAAGTTAATATAATTGAATATCGCAGTACACGTAGTTACAAGATTGTTTAAATAATTATTTTTAATCGTTTCAAAGCATATAATTTGAATGAAGATCATTTTTAAGTTATAATTTATTCATTTCGTTACTCTAGTTCTATTCATCCTTTGATCAGTTACCCAAACGTCTGAGAAATTAATTATAATTGAATTTTTATTTTTCAACGTGTAGATATATTGTTCACATCGAATAATACAATTTTGTAAAGGTATCTTAATTATTTCATTAAACTTACTTGGATCTGTTTCAAAGAAGTCTTCATTTGCATCAAGCTATATGCTTTGCTATCAATATGATTGCAGAGCGTGCGACATTTTTTATTATGTAATGCATCGATAGCGATTTAGTTGGAAAATAATAAATGACATGTTTCCTTCGAACGAAACGAAAGAAATTTCAATGATTTTCTATACGAATAATTTTTCTTATTCTTCTTTTTCTTTTAATAATAATAATCTCTTTGTTTATCGAAAATAATTACACACGCAATCAATCAATATTTTATAATAAAAGCGCTTATCTTCGTAATGGAATCCCGTGCCTTTTGTACCTCTGCAATTTTATCACAACTCGATGATTGTTGAAAAATGGTATATAAAAAAGTAATGACCAAATATAATGAAAAGAAGCTCGACGGTAGTAAAGCAATATTATTATTATTAGTAATGAGTGATTTCACTATATGGAGTATTTAGTTTTTATTTCATTAAAATCTGTTCGAATTTATTGTTAAACAGAGCCAATATCTACATATTTAAAGTCCATCAACAAATGCTATTTGAAAGAGTTCAATAATAAACTAAGTTCTAAAACTGTATACATTAATGATTTATATTCCTATTATTAATATTTTCTTTCGATTCAATCATTTGTATTAATATCACACCATTCGCATTATATTATTATAATTTATGTGATATATATATATATAATATATTTGATTTGGAATGCATTATTTTTATTATTTTTTATTACAATCTCTACAAACAATACACTAGTGTCGGAAAAGTTGCCTTTTAACAGGGGTGAGTATAATCGAATCGAACAGTTTAGTTGTAACCTAACTTTTGAAAATTATACTGTAAGTGTACTGAATTATATTTGTAAATTATTATAAATATTATTTATCGATTAATGTAGTAAATTGGGTATGATATTTATTAAATGTTTGCGATAGAAATTTGAATGATTTCAAATAGTGATAAATACACGCGAGAGGGCGGTATTAAGATAGCGACTGCGCAATCAATCGGAATAGCGAGATATAGTACACATGCATATGTATGAAAGTATAGTGTTGTATATATATATATGTATATAAGGTGGGGATAGTTCTGGCATCTATCTCACTTCATTCCTTACTCGGTGTTTAGTGAGTTCGCGTTTATAAGAATAGTTAGGATATGTTTAGTCGTTCCTAAGTCGTGAACTATAGTATTAGTAAGAAAATATGCAGTATTTGGTATATTACCCCTGTTCGTGAAGGAACGCTTAATGTGCTTGCATGTGAATGCGCCTCGATTTTCGATTTTTCCCCGTATTTCGTCGTACAGTTTTCAATATGTGTCAGTGAATATTTTGGAATAAATTCGTCATCAAATTTGATTAATTATATGAAAAAATGTCGAAGCCCGGTGACAAACAGAGCTATGCGCAGACATATAAATTGGTTGTCGTAGGTGGGGGTGGTGTCGGAAAATCTGCGATCACAATACAATTCATTCAAGTAAGTACTTTTTATGGCCAATAGGTGTACCCAACGTGTATGTGGGTGTACATGTACATATATGTACACGTACGTATCGTTTATATGTTTGTACATACGTGTGCAACTATATATACATTTCTTCGCCTTTATGTATATATTATGTATGTATACATATACATATGACATTTATTTGTCTATTTGCTAGATTTGTCAATTAGATTCGTTTTCATACATATCTACATACGTCATCTACGATCGCTTCAAATAAGGCAATAATGATTTTTTCAGCTGCTGCACCGAGAATATTTTGTAAATGATAATATAGAATGTTTCAAATAAAAATGAATCTTAGAGTATTAGATTTCAATTACGACTATTTTTGAAGTTGCGCTAATCTAAACATTACAGGAACGAGTTAACGCGTTCTGTTACTGATTATGTCATACAACCAGGGATTGAACTACTAATATAGTCATATAAGTTTGTAATGCTTTGTTTAATAAGTTTGCATATTATCTTGATAATGTATGAAATGTATCATGTATATTTCAATTTTAATGAAAAATAAAGATTTTTGTTTATTATAATCTTTTTGCCTCTAGAAAATGTTATGTTACATTTTATTCATGTTTTTCAGAGCTATTTTGTAACCGACTATGATCCAACTATCGAAGATTCTTATACCAAACAATGTGTTATCGATGATATTCCAGCTAAACTTGACAGTAAGTAAATTATTAAGATTGTGGTACCGTACAGTAATTTTAATTTCATATTTGTTTGTATAAGGGTAATAACCGTTATAACTTATATTTTATGTTGATTTTCATGCAGTTCCATAATGAACCAAGGGTTTGTTATTGTAAGACTATAATTTCTTAACCAGTAATTAATCAAAAGAATTCAATTAGTGAAGTCGTAAACATTCAAAATAATATTATATGTACTTATAATGGTTTTGATAATGAAACTAATAATATTTCATATTTTAGTATTGGATACAGCAGGTCAGGAAGAATTCAGCGCGATGAGAGAACAATACATGAGAAGCGGCGAAGGTTTTCTCCTTGTATTTTCAGTAACGGACCATTCATCTTTCGATGAAATATTGAAATTTCATAGGCAAATCCTTAGAGTAAAAGATCGTGATGAATTTCCCATGCTTATGGTTGGGAACAAAGCAGATTTGGATTATCAGAGAATTGTAAGTATTATTGTTTCTCCGTAAAAAGACACTATTTTAATTTGAACTATTTATTGTAGGTGTCTGTCGAAGAGGCTCAAAATATGGCTCGCCAGTTAAAAATACCATACATAGAGTGTAGTGCAAAATTAAGAATGAATGTTGATCAAGCTTTTCACGAGTTAGTAAGAATTGTTAGGAAGTTTCAGTTGTCTGAAAGACCCCCGCTAGATTTAAATCATAAAAAGAACAAAAAGAAATGTTGTATGTTGTAATATTCAATATGTTCTTGATCAGCTAAACGAAACAATTGATACAAAGTGAAAATCACTAATCAACAAAGTATTCGATAATGGCAATTATAAGGCACAAAAGGTGGTAATTTTAAGGCAGCAATGAGTCTTGTCATATTTAGAATACCAAAAAGGTATTCTCTTTGGTAAAAAAGAACTTATTTATACAAACGGAATTACTAGCCTAGGATTTTTATCAACGAAGATGAATTTTGTATATGTATTCTTACTCTAACAAGAATTTTCATAATTTCTTTTTATGAAGTAGTATAATATACAGGGTGTTCTGCAGGAATGGACTATGTCTTTAAAAAGATCGAATTGAGACATAAGATAATATTGATTGGATTTTTGTACATTAGCACAGTTGACTTAGGAATTAATTTAATTTAATTTTAAGTTACTAAATTATTTTAATAGTTCCCCACGTTTTAACATACCATTCAACGCGTCCCGCTTTACCTGTGTTTTATTTATAACCATGTATCAGCCTCTGATATTGATTAGTATAATATCTTATCAGCTACTTGTGCTACCAGATATTTGAATGATCTTCCACCCTACTCTACATATTTCACCTCTTTTTTTCTCCACATTTTTTACATTATGTAACTGTTCTTATGTAATTTTTGAGATGTGACACCCTGTATATTATGTACAAGATGTTTAGTCTAACATTGAATTGTATATAACCAGCTATCCACTTGAAAAATCAATTTGACCTTTTATAGGAAGATTATTTTAATATAAAATATTTTAGATACAACGTTATACCTCTTTAATCGTTGATTCTCTGTTCTAAGAATAGATATATTTTTTTGTAACATAGTTCTTTTACAAAGTAGCTAATAATCAAATAATTGACTAATCAACTTACACAGAGAAACGAGTATTGTATGTAAAATATTAAAATAACGTTTTTATTTTCATATCTCACACATACTAAAACATTTTAATTTATCGGTAAAATTTTAATTTTAACCAAAGGACATTGTGTCCTCATTTTTAAACCTTTACTTTTATTGCATTAAAGTAAATAAAATATACGAAACATAAGTTTTTTATGTGCTAACAGTAGTACTAGTGAATATAATTAAATTCATAATTAGTACAATTACCAAGTAATACATAATATGAAAAATGTTAGTATTCTGAATGCTGCACTTAAAAAAAAAGAAAATTGCAGTTTTAATTATGCTACCAAGTAGTAATTATTATAATATATAATTAAGAAACAAATGTTTGCAATATTTCAAAAGTTTCAAACAATGAACAAATAATTTCAAGAAGATAACATAATAAACTACTACTAGATCTCTAACCAGACAAAGAAGAACATACAAATAAAGAAAAAAACTTTTACAAACTTTATACAAAAAAATATGGTTACCATATCATTGTCTAATTATTAAAAGAAGTATCTATTAATTATGCTTTTTTATAAAATTGTATGAAACAAAGAATTGTTAAGATATTTTTGTAAATATTTTATTTAAATTCAAATATATTTGTATGAATTTCTTGGAGGAAAGAAAATGGGCTAATAATTGTAATAAGAATTCTGGAATGTACTACAGGATGTTATAGCGAATTACAAAGGAACCAATATTATAATATTTATATAAAAAAAAAAAAAAATATAGCGTAATAACAAAATTGTGTAACTTAAATGTATAACAAATAAAAATAATTGTTTACATGTTTTAGTACAAATTATAAGAATCCTATATATTTTGTGTATCATACTTGATAACAATTAATTTATACAAATGTTAACAGTACAAAGCTAATATAATTTATAATAATAGATGTAACACAGTGTTCCATTTATTTACAATAAAGTTTTGTACACTGATATTCATAGCATGATTGTTAACAATGTTTAAAATTTGTTGTTAATGATTTTGTTAATTGATTAGGTTATAATTTCACAATCGTGTAAATGAGACTTAACGATTGACTATTATTATACAATTTAATATTATTATTCGATAAGAAAATAACGATAGCTTTTACACAACGGAACATTCACCCTAATTTAGTCGGTAAACAACTGGCACGCAAGGTGGTCAAACGGGATTCCCACCGTGGCTATTCTTAACCAGACCAGGCTAATATTGAATCCGCTCAATTACTTCCAGCTATACTCGCATCGCTAATAAATATAACTGTTATCATCGATTTTTTAATTCCTTTTTTCTATCCCATAGTACGTTCAATGAATCGATCTTTTACGTTTGAACGAATCATTACAAAGATAAAATTTTTATTCCGTAAAAAGAAGAAATAATAAAAAAAACATTTCAAGCGAAAAGCAATTTTACGTTTAAGCGTTAAAGAATTTGGCACACATCAATGTGCGTCTGTTCCCATCTATATTGGGACACGTAAGATACATGTAATTTCCTGAAAAAGTTACATGAACATATTCATATGTAAAAAAGAGGAACGAAAAAAAAAAAAGGGAAACATATGAAAAAAATGTTATTCGTTTGCAAAGCATCGTCAGCAGTTTCGTGTCGACGTACTTTTATTTACTCGCGGGAAAGAGAAGCCGGTCGTCGGTTGAGAAGAAAGACGCACATTGTGAACGCGCAGGAAAGAAACAAGACCGCGAAGAAGAAGAATGGCCGGGTTAAAAATAGCGGCGCGCGTTTTCAAATAAAAACTGATAAGCAACCTGCAGGATAATGATTAAGGAGAAGCGAAAAAGAAGAACCGGGAGCAACATCAGGAGGCGGTAAAAAGCAGCAGGAAAGAACGTACCTCGATAAAAAGAAGATTCACCAAAGCCAAACCACAACTGTTCTCAGGTAGAGAGAAAGAAGATTCTCCCCGATATCATCTTGGCCCAATGGAATAATATATCGAGTATAATGCGTGATGGTCAAGTTTCGTCGCGTGTGTTGGTACCAATAAAGGTGAGAACCGGTGGTGTGTACAGGGCTCTGGAAGGAGGAATCTCCCACCCTGTAGCTTTTACCCATGCGTTTCGCATGATTTACCGACCATACAATCAAGTGCATCTAACACCAAATGGACAAGTGAACTCTGCGAAATTCGAAATGTTCCAACGAATTAATTAAAAATTCATTAGTGACACTACGGACGGAGTTAACCAGACGCTTCCAATAGTAAGTAAAAATTGTGATGTAATAAAAAAACGGCGCGCGACTCCTGTGAAAATTTCTCGCGTGATACCAATCTTTTTTTTCCCCCATAGGCGTGCCTAGACGCGTTTCTATAAATCGTATAAGCTGGTCGATGCGACAGTCGAGTCTGGCATCGTTTCTCTCGATCCCGTATCCTTTAAATCGACGATATTAGGTTTCCGTATTTTCCTGAGGAACAAATAAAGTAACGTGCCTCCGTTTCGTCACCACTTTCCTGTTGCGTTACATAAACGCATCCGTGGTGTACGCGTAGAAACTTGACCAGCACGGGTATAGATTATCTATCCTGTTTAATACTTGGGAAAAATAAATTGTTTATTAAGACGGTGTGTCAGCACATCGGCCGATACGGTTCTAGTATCTCCTGGTACACGTCAGTTCTCGGATAGTACGTCAAACCGGAGGACGCGAAATGATCTACTAGCTGATGGGTTGCGAACGAAGACGATTCGATTTATGATGCCGTGATATGCTAACCATTTTGGTTTCGTTTAAAGCCGAGGGCAACCTTCGGGTGTCCCTCCGCCTCCAGCTTGAGCTGGACTGAAAGAAAAGGAAGAGGGAAAGGAACGAGTTCTTCGATGCCTGGTGCACAGTCTAGTTCAAGACTCACGATGATAGTGAACGTCCCATGAAGATTCCTCCGGCCGGTTTCCCTTCTCTCTCTTTCTCTCTCGAAAACCATAAGCTAGTGTCACGGAGGACCATCCTAAGTTTTCGTACCGGCTCGCGGAAAAACTTTGCAGGTCAGTGCACGTATATCAAAGTGGAAATTTTATATCTAAAAAGAAGTTTCACTTTGGACAATTTGTTTTGATGATTTATGCAATTCGAAAAAAATTAACGTGTCGAATGGCGCGTGAGCGGGGGGGTGGGGGGGGAGGGGGGGACTGGTTGCCGGCATCCGTGAATTTGAACACTTTGACGGCCAATGTCACGTATACGTTGTTTTACAATGAAAACGTTTGTAAATTGAAACCCTATCGGTAATCTATTGTTTCTATGAAACGTGAGGCCGTCGAAGCGTTAAGTCACATTGATATCGTATTACTTACACAAGGTACGTCGAGAGGAGAAGTTTAATTAAAAAATGGTATAATTGTAATTGCAGTATGCGTAGCGTGAGGTATATTTTAGGCGCGGTTAAAATGATAAAAATACGAGAAGAGATCCTGATTTTCAGGTTTCGCTCTCTGCGTTTCTGGCCACACGCGATTATTGTTTCGTTTCTCGAAGACTATTTTTTATTAACGCCATTGTTCGTTGAAAAACAAAATGGCTGTAACAATGTGCGATCGTTATTTAAATCGATCCCGGTGATCGATATAGATTTTGATTGCGTGCAATTGCGTATGAAACGGATAATGGTAAAGGAGAAGTCAGTTAAAAAAAAAAAAACTCGTGCGGCACGAATGCAATTGGTCTCGCTATTAATTGATTCGTGCACGCTGATATTATCGAGAAAAAAAAAAAGAAGCAAATTGTTCGTGGTAACCGATAATAATCGATGCTGCGTGATATTAAACGTATGCAAAAATTTTAGTCTCTTTTTCCAATCCGATATAATTAATTTAAATTCAAACGAGTTCCCGCCTTTTTCACCGATATTTAAATAACTCCGACGCGAAGAATGTCGGATTTATTGTGCATTAATTGTTTATATAATTAACATCGCAATACGCAATCCTTGTCCCATGATCACGTACGCTTCGTGGAAGATTATTTATAGCGCGAAATCGTTGAATCTGTTGTTTATAAAAGTAATATAATCGGTGACTATCTTCGGAATTACTTAAGTTCCTCCGAAGGTTTTTCAGATGGCAACAAATCATAGTCATTAAATGCTGAGTTCCTTGAAAGTTCATGCCGGCACGCACGCGTATCAATGTTTCCAAGCATTATTTAACCAGTTCTGTCTTGATTATATTTCTACGCTGTGAAAAATTTCTTATTTTCATTGAAATTATACGAGTTTGAAATAACCTGCGCTATTTAGTTATTTTGCCCCTTAAGGAACCGCGCCCGGATAGTCGGCGACGCACGGGACTTGTACTTGGCCCCTGTGCTATGATCGAAAAGGGTATAGCCGGTTAAGTAACTCTACAGGCAAAAAACAGCGAAAAAATCGTTTTTAATTTTTTTAACTATGACGCACCTTACTAAAAAATCTAAAAAAAATTAAGGATGATAGTATCAATAATATACACTTATAAAAAAAACATGATCGTAGGACAGCATCTCCTTCAATACAAAATTGCCATTTTTCAACATTTTTTGAAGTTTTTGATTTTTCACGGCTTCAGTTTTCAATCTAAAAATCTGAAAAAATTCTGTAACATGTGTCTCACGAATAGAAATGTCTTTGATTTTTTTCAGAATTTTCAAATGTCATTAAATAGGAGAAATTGACCAAAAACTTCGCGATTATATTTTTACCCGTAACTACCCTCCCAGATGAGATACAGGGTTGAAACTTGGCACAGACTGGCTTTTTTTTATCACCTATCGAATGGTTCATAGCAAGTCGAATTTGGTTCGGGGGCACTTTTGACCATCTTATCCGGCTATACCCTTTTCGATGATCCTACCGTTAAACTCTCGTGTGTTTTTATTAAATCACAGTGAAGATACTATTTATAGATATCCGTATTGAGAAATATCAATACAGGTACACAAGTAACCTGCAGGACTTGTTTCCTCGTAAAGAGCCATAAGAGGTCGTAGAGATCAGGATATTTAAAAAGTTCTTTACATTCTTAGAAATTCTATCTCGCCGCTGCTTAGGAGGATAATATAAAAAGCATCGCTTTATCCTCCAACGTTATTTTACATCATTATGAGAAAAACATTCGCAACCATCAATTCGAATACGATCAAAATCCAATTATCTTCTGATTGGGTTCTATCCTTTCTCAGCGGATATGACGTCAGTTTCAATTAGAGATATAAAATATAGAAAATTTTAAATCATTTTTATCATTTCTTATTTTGACAATATTCAGGGGCGCCTGGAGGGCCAGGTGCAGGGCGGGTCTCGGTCCATACAGGGGCCGCCGAAAAAAAATTTATTATACTAATAGCGATAATAATTATCTTCGTTGGGCCCGTTTAGAGATTTTTAGCGAGCGGTGTTTTAACAGAATGAAAACGCAAACATTCGTGAGATGGCTATTAGAGATTCTCGATGCTTGCTCGATTCATGCGCAATTTTAGCACGTTCAAGTACGTTTAGCAAAGCGTCAATTGCTTCGTGGTAATTGATGTCTCGTGTTGCCGTTGGAAACTGTTCACCGACGTGCGGAAAGGTTGACCGATTATTTGAATACCATCACGGATCCAGAAACTTTGTTTCATTTTCTTTCTCGCATCTTGTTCGTACGAACGCTTCCAAAAATATAGGTTATCCATCTTGCATAACCTATGCGTCACGCGCGTCCGATATTTTTCTGCATATTACACGTTTCGTGCTGATTCGAAGACGGCTTTCTTATTTGTTTAAACGAATGATTCATCGCGTGTTACGTACGCACGTACGTGTGGCATACTAGAAATAAATAAAGAAAAAAGAATGTTTTCAATCGAATACTCGGGATACTTGGAATACGCGAAATCTAGATCTCAGCTGGTCGTGAGAAAAATGTAATTAGAAAGGCAACGTTTCAAGGGACATCGTTTGTATTTTTTTTTTTTTTTTTTTATTTCGATTACCATAGAATCACATTTATTTCAATGTCTCACTGTTATTTTTAACTGTGTACAGAATATTATCAGCTCGAAGGAGATTTATAAATCGTCTCCGGTGTCAGTTTTCGTTTACATTTTCATTTCAATTTCCATTAAACAAAGTTCATCTATTTTTATTAGACGGTTCAGCGTTCGTTGCACGTAAAACATTGAAATCATTACAGTGTTGTTTACTACTGATTAATCATCGATTGTAAACGGAGCACGTTTACCTTACGGTTTCATTGAATGCGTGTTCTAATGAAAATTGCATTTATTCCGAACAGGCAGCTACGTAAGACCGATTCAGCATGCTATATCACGTACGGATCTTTCTAGAGTAACGCTAGAAAATCATCAACATTAATGATTCGAGCTACGTGTGTCCGTTAGGGGCTGGATCACTTTTCTTTAGATCATCTCTTACGACCTTTAACGCCAGAGTTACCGACGTTTTAACGAACCCTTATTTCTCGGTTGAAAATAATGTAGAAAAATAAGTAAATAAAGGATCAAACCTAATTTAATATACACATCCATTCTTTATCTCGAAAATAGCCAATATATATTTTAACGAAATATCCTCGATAAAATTGATGAAATTTATATATTTTGACTGGTTTGCTAGGTCTAGAGTTAAAAAGTAAGGTTATACTAAAATGATTTACAATTACATAAGAAAGTAATCTAGTATGTAACTGAGATTATTCTATTTATTTTTTTTCTATAATTATGTCGTGACACAGGGCATAAAAGTTTAGTCGAAGTGAAAACAATGAGTAGAGGTAGCGCGTGTGTATAGCGGCGGTAATAATTGATACGTTTGTAAGCATCGATAAGGAATAAAAAACATCTGTGTTGATTAAGGAAAATCGTTTGTGAAATTGCCTGGCAATAAATTTCAACAGCCTGACGGTTCGTTTAATATCGTTTACAACGTTGGATTCTGGTAGAGGAAAAACGAACTACCTCTGACTCATTGATAATTTTGAATTTCAATCAAATTTTTACAAGTTGTTATTTCTCCGCTGCCGTCCACTCGATATCGCGTGCACAGCCTGGTCGGGGGGGGAGGAGGAGGAGGAGGAGGAGGAGGTTTGCGTGACGCAGAGGGACGAGGCGAATTTTAGGAAGGGAAATTGTTGCATTTAAACGAACCTGTTCCATCTACGACGAAAGGAAGAAATAATAAAACATGTTTTGTTTTCCGCGAGAGGCGGACAGCCATACACCACGTTCACTTTATCCTGTAACCTTGGTCCAAATACCAGAGCGTAGAAATTTTGTTTTTCCATGAATCCCGAAAATTTTCCGATATCTATTCATTCTGAAAAGCAATTAATTCTTTGTCGAGGAAAAAAAAAAGAACCTTCCTTTGACGAGGAAAAAGAAAAGGTATATACCGAGTGTGAATTATTTCGCGGAGTTTAGTTTTAAAAATCCCCCCGGTACACAGTGGGGCAAAATCTGCTAATCTAGCAGTGCAAAATGACGAACACTTATAATGATGAATGGTTTTGTATTCTATGCATTCTATACGTATTAAATAAATATAAAAAAGACTAATAAAGTTCCTTAAAGTTGTTGGAATAGCGTTTTTTGGAAAAATAGAGAGTTAGGATACAGAGAAGGAAGCGTATTTTGAATTAGAAGTCTTGTTTTAATTTTCAGTTACAATAAAGATAAATTCTTATAAAATTTTGTTTATTTAAAAAAAATATAATTTACAAAAATACAATTTACAATAAAAACAGCAATAATAAAAATAAGAACAAGATAATATTCATATGTTTGAAGCATAATTACTATGAATGTACGAGAAGAGTTTTCATTTCATTTTCAAAGGATGGTATTTTTTGGAAGCGTAAACTTTTCTTGTTACAAGATATTATAGAAATTAATGGATCTGATGTGAATAATAAACTATTAAATAAATCTGTCATACCAGCTGTCCGAGAGCACTTCCTCGTGTTGTACTGCCTGAATCTTCTCAAATTTTTGTTTCTTGCTTCAAGTGCTTCTTCAGACAACATTCCTATAGGCAAACTAACAGCCTTTATAATATCCGATCCGTGAATTAAAATTCGATGGATACTGGAGGGCATATAAAACCATGGGTATAAATTAACATATAGTTTTGCAGTTTCTATTGCATACTTATGGAAAGCCTTCGCATCAATTGTACATCCACTTGATAGGGTTTTTAATATTATGTTAAATCGTTTTATCAAATTTTGGTCCACTCCAGTGATGTCTGAAACTTGTTCGTAATTTGCAAAAAATCTTCTGGCTGTATTCCCATCGTTACTTGTCCCGTAGTTAAGTTTAGGAATATCTACTAATAAGCCTAACTGGTTTTTTAATCCATTTTGTATATGTTTCTTTCGTTCTTGGTATTTAAGTTTTTCCTGTTCGCCCCTTATTTGCCATTTTTGTATATCGAACCGATAAGAGATATGTAGCATGCATTCTAAACAACGTATATAGGCGTGTAGTATAGATAACTTCACATTCTCTACTTAAAATACGATCAATGTTGTTCATTAATTTTGGAGTTGCACCATAAATTGCACATGATTGCGACGAAGAGTCGGTTATAGCACTGAATGCTTTCCCGTCTATCATAGTAAGTTTGAAATCGAAGGTAATTATAATTTCTTTAGAAAAAAAATTAATTTTAGTTGGTATTAAATTTTGAATTTGATTTTCTATATGTTTCACCTCTTGTTTGATCAGATCTTGTGATTCTTGTTTTAATATGATTTTTATGGGTCTACAAAACCTTGTTGACGATGATTTTGGATTTTGCCATATCACTGTATCATTTTCGTATGTTAGCTGAAGTGGCACAGCACAAACAATAAATAAAAATGCATCCGAATCTTCATTATGAGTAAATCTTTGCTTATATTCCGAATGGCCATACCGCGGTATGGGGAATTAAAATCAAGCAGACTCCTATTATAAGTTGTACGAAAAAAGTAAAGCAAAACACGGAAGGGTTACACTTTTATTCGATATAAAATTAATAGTACATTGTTGAAAATGTTATTATTATTAAAAACTTAGGGATTGTTGAAAAATAATAAAATTTATAAACAAGAAAAATTAAAGAAGGAAAAAAGATTTTAAGTTATTAAAATATACGAAACAATTCGGGAAATACCAGATGCATTGGGGAAAATAATTAACTCAGTATGTAAAAAATAATACATTGTACGGGGAATACCCAATATACTAAAAAGAATAATCAATTTTTTTTTCATAAAATACATGTAAAGTACATTGCAGTTCTATTGGTAATATAAAGGAAACGTACCACCAAATGACATTTTTATTTCATCTTATCGAAATTTCGAGTTTTTATAGTCAATAGTAATTTCTTATTTTACAAGATGTGTATACACGTCGACCGTAGTTAATTGGTTAAAAATATCGATGAAGCGATTGTGTTGTCATTTTCAGTAAACATTAAGCTTCAAATTAACGTGTCATAAGTGGTATTTTACAATAATTTTATGTCATCTATCATCGGTTAAAGATCATCCAACTCCTACAACTGACAACCGGTTATTTTATCTGAAGGACATTAATGAAATGCTCGTGTAATTGTTTTTCTGGAATCTTGATCTGCAACCCTTTTATGCACAAATCTTTCTGTGCAAACAATTTTTTTAATTTTACTTGTATAAGGGGCTTTTGATTACAAATCTTAAATCAGATTTCTAAAATTCAAGATGGTGGATCCAATATGGTGGACTAAAGATAAAAAGTATCCCCAATGCTATGAAATTTTGGATATAACGGTTCATGGGGTCGCTGATTACGAATCAGAAATCAGATTTTTAAAATTCAAGATGGCGGATTCAATATGGCGGACTAAAAAATAGAAAATATTACTAATGCTGTGAAATTTTGGATATAGGGGTTTATGGAGTCGCCGATTACGAATCTGTAATCAGATTTTCAAAATTCAAGATGGCGGATTCAATATGGCGGACCAAAAAATAGAAAATATCGCTACTGCTATGAAATTTTGAATGTAAGGGTGTATGGGGTCGCTGATTACGAATCAGAAATTAGATTTTAGAAATTCAAGATGGCGAATCCAATATGGCGGACTAAAAAATAGAAAATATCGCTAATGCTGTGAAATTCTGAATATAGAGGTTTATGGGGCCGCTGATTACGAATCTGTAATCAGATTTTCAAAATTCAAGATGGCGGATTCAATATGGCGGACCAAAAAATAGAAAATATCGCTAATGCTATGAAATTTTGAATATAAGGGTATATGGGATCGCTGATTACGAATCAGGAATCAGATTTTAGAAATTCAAGATGGCGAATCCAATATGGCGGACTAAAGATAAAAAATATCGCCAATGCTATGAAATTTTGAATATAAGGATTTATGAGGTCGCCGATTATAAATCTAGAATCAGATTTTCAAAATTCAAGATGGCGGATCCAATATGGCGGACTAAAAAATAGAAAATATCGCTAATGCTGTGAAATTTTGAATATAGGGGTTTATGGAATCGCTGATTACGAATCAGAAATCAGATTTACAAAATTCAAGATGGCGGATTCACAGCAATAGCATTATTTTCTATTCCTGGTCAGCCATATTGAATTTCGAAAATCTGATTCTAGTTCCGTAATCAATGACCCCAGAAACATAAATCAGCATCAAAATATCGAAACATTCCCATTTGAATTTTATCAGAATCGAATTTTTTCTTAAAAAAAGGCAGCACTCTTCCATATTTGATTTATTTATAACAAAATTCAGTGAACAAAAGGAAGCTACCAGGATCAACAAATTATTAGATTCACATCTCAGTATTTCATCAGAAAAGTTTCCATACAAAAATAACCAAAGAATGAAATTTTAGAGCTAAAATGTAGAAGAGCAAAAGATGACCCATATATGTGTCACCGTGCAGGAAAGGGTTAAATCAATGTACAAGTATTATTTCAGAATCCTACATTAGGATTGTAAGATTATAAAATAAGTCTGATGCAACGTTGCTTCTGATGGTGCACGTACGACCATAGCTAACACTTTCTAATATGCTTTCAGGTGAATTTGATCAGCTGTATTCCACCGTCACTCTCTCCGCCATAATGACGATGAAAAGTGTGAAAACGAAATTGGTACCGCCGGACGGAGGATGGGGATGGGTGGTCCTTTCATCGGCTCTGGTGGTCAACTTCCTAATCCCAGGAACCGTGAAGTCGTTCGGTGTCCTATTCGTCGAGTTCCTTCACGTTTTCAAAGCCTCCTCCACAGCTGCCTCGTGGATGCCAGCATTATGCTACTTCTTATACAACTCGTTAGGTAAATGATTTACTATGTCCAATGATTTAACGATCCTCTATTCTTCTAACTTCCTCTGCAACAATCTTATCTGTGAGTTATCGTCGATTTACGAGAAAATTGAAGAAATCCTCATGAATTTAAATAGAAAAAGATAATTGTTCCTCGAAGAGTTTTAGACTTCTTATTATTATTATTATTATTTGTAAAGGATGTTGAAAGAAATTTCAACGAATACTACTAATTACCCGTCACGCGAGGCGCTCGTTCGTTTAACACATTATGTAACTGTTATTGGATCATCGATCATCCACGCTATGAACGTAGTTTCTGAAATTTCATATTTTACAGGTCCTCTATCGAGCATACTATCCACCAGATACTCGTACAAGGTGGTGACCATAATAGGTGGTGCATTTGCAGCCTGTGGAATGATGTCGAGTTATTTCGCTAACTCGGTCTCGTATTTATACGTCAGGTATTGTTTTCAAGAAAGTACGATACAGGATGCGAACGAATTGGTAAAACGACGGGAATAACGTTTCTTGAAAAAAAAAAAAAAAAATAAAGAAGATAAACATCCCTCGTAGGAGCCAATTCTCTAGAAAATCACTTTTGATGATCTGCCAAGCACTTGTTAACTAATGCTCGTTGAATGACACTTTCGCGAACAGAATATTTCTACACGATGCTTTGTACAACTCTCACGGACGACTAGAATTCTATAGAATTCTAAACCATTCGTTTTTTTTTTTATTAAACAATAAACAGCTGGGAATTAAACTTCTCCAGGAATTGGCACCAATTCGGCCGGACTTTGTATAGAATAGAGGTAAAAAGTATGAATTAACCGAAAGTTTACTTTATTGTAGTTACGGATTGATGGTTGGGATCGGAGCTGGATTAACATTTCCTCCAACGGTGTATATCGTAACGTCGTACTTTGAAAGACTTCGAGGTTTCGCTAATGGTCTGTGCATTTCCGGTAGCGCGATCGGAACCATCGTCCTACCACCGTTCTTACAATATCTTCTCGACTGTTTTGGTTACAGGTAAAAGAGAATCTCATCGGTAATTGAAATTATATACAGAATTAGAATATAGTAGTTAACGGTCGCTGATTACGAATCTGAAATCAGATTTTCAAAATTCGGATTTAAAATTCAATTTAGATTTTGAATTCGTGATCAGGAAGCCGAGAAACCCGCACGTACAGAATTTCACAGCGGTAGCAGTATTTTGAATTCTTGGGCAGCCATATTGGATCTGCCATATCGAATTTTGAAAATCTGATTCCAGATTTGCAATCAGCGATTCCAAAAACCCGTATGTTCAAAATTTCACAGTATTAGCGATATTTTCTATTCTTTTGGTCCGCCATATTGAATCCGCCATCTTGAATTTGGAAAATCTGAATCTAGATTTATAATCAGCGATCCCAAAACCCCATATGTTCAAAATTTCATAGCATTAGCGATATTTTCTATTCTTTTGGTCCGCCATATTGAATTTTGAAAATCTGATTTTAGACTTATAATCAGCGACCCCATAAACCCTTAAACTCAAAATTTCACAGAATTAGCGATATTTTTTATGTATTGGTCCGCCATATTGAATCCGCCATTTTGAATTTTGAAAATCTGATTTCAGTTCCGTAATCAGTGACCCCAAAAACATAAATTGGCATCAAAATATCGATATGTTCACATTTGAATTTTATCAGAATCAATTTTTTTTTTTTTAAGGAGCATTCTTTCATGCTTCATTTGTTCATAACAAAATTCAGTAAACAATAGGAAGTTTTTGGGATCGACAGATTGTTAGATTCACATCTCAAAATTTTAGAGCTAAAAAGCGGAAGAGCAACAGGTGACAGATATATTAAGAAAAGTATTATTCATTTTTCCAGAGGCGCTGTATTGATTATGGGCGCGCTTACGTTGAATACATTAGTTTGCGGTTTGCTCTATCATCCTGTTGAAGAGCATATGATTTCTGTGCCGATCGAGAAAGGAATCGATAATGAGGCGTTAACCATTGATGAATCGATCGTCGATAAAAAAAAACAAACAGGTAATAATAAAATGATATTATTAATCTTCATTGTCTAACATTATTTCTTATAGAAACTCAAATCTCGTACGATGATGCTGGTTCAGAAAAAGAAAAGCAGTGCAAAGATGAAACCATAATCGACGATTCTAAGGTGGATCATTGTTCGAAAGACAGTAAAGAAGACACAAGTGAAAATGAAAAAGATACTTCGAGCATAAAGGACAAAGATTCCAACATAAAAGAAGGAGATGCTTTAAACGATCAGGTTGTATCGCAGAGAGAAAGCAGCGCATCTGAAATTGATCCAACGTGCGATAAATTGAAGAGTGAAAAATCGGACTTAAATAACCAGTTAAAGGATACGAAGAAAGATGAGAAAATTTGTGAAAGTTCGAAAAAAGATTTTGGAGAATTATCCGAAAAGTCAACGTCGAAAACGTCGTTGTCCAAGGTAGAGGAAAAAAAAAGTAGATGTCATTTCTTTGATCTAAGCGTGCTGAGGGATCCGATTTATTTAGTTATTCTTATCTCAAATTCCACCTCGGCTATTAGTAATACCAATTTTATGATTCTATTACCGTCCTACGCTATTTCTCAAGGTTTTGATAAAAATTCGTCCGCTTTGCTTTTGTCAGTCGTTTCGGCTCTTGATTTAGTTGGAAGGATCAGTGGTGCTTCTCTGTCGGACATTGATTTCGTGCCAAAATATTACTATTTCGTTGGTGGACTTGGAACTAGCGGGATAGCTTTGGCACTCTTGCCAATGGCGACAAGTTACGCGATGCTTTCATTTTTCTGTGCACTGTTTGGTCTGTCGTCCGGCATGTACATTGGGATCACAACGGTGATCTTAGCTGACATGCTTGGTACTGAAAAACTTAGCTCATCGTATGGAATATCTTTGTTCGTTAACGGTGTTTTACAGCTGGTGGGTCCACCTATTTGTGGTGTTGTATTTGAGGCTGTAGGATCTTACAAGCCAATCTTCTTATCTTTTGGTATCATACTTATCCTGGGAACCGCATTATGGGCAGTGGTGCCTCTTATAAACAGAAACAACAAAAAGAATCTACAGATTGTATAACAATTGATGATTGTTAGTTTTTTATGATGAAATTATACGAAATTGTAAAGTATTATAGGTGTTTCAACATCAGCATTGTAACTGCCATTTAAACAATTAGCTAGACGTTATTTTCTATAATGCCATTCCCTTTCTTCTCTCTTTTTCACCAAACATTAGAAATTAGTACAATTAATCAAAGGTGTGCCGACATCGATGATTCGTTAGTATTATTATTCTATTGAATACTGATTAATACTTTACAAATTTATATGTAGATCATTAAAATATACTATTTGTCGTGTGCGGTTCACGCATGCTTAGTTAGTGCCTTATAGTCTAATTAATTAATTAATTAATTAATCAGCTCAAGACAGTTCTGTCGAAGAACGACAGAGATATATTTAATAAATAAAATAATTGAATTATCATAATTGCAATACTACTGGACAGTGACAATATTAGTAACATAGTTAATAATATTGTTAAAATAATAAAATGAAATAAGATTAAAAGGACGAAGATAATGGTATTATAAAAATACTACATAATTTGTAAGATTTTTTCAATTTTAAACTTTAATTATATGTAACGTCTTCTATACGGAAGATGGTAGATCTAAGTATAGTGAACGATATTAATAATAATTGAAGAACGCGGCAATATAAAAAATATTGTCACATCTTGTTAAAACACAACATATTTTTCCTCAAGTTTGCAATAAGCAGTTAAATTAAAAAAAAAAAACCTTTCCATTTAGTGATATGTAGTTTACATGGAAACGATGTGTTTAAAAAAAATGAATTAATATAAAACTAATTATTGCGGTTTCTGTTTGAAACGTGAACACGTTTTGAACATATTTATAAACATATTTATTTTATAATCAAAGTAATAGAATTGTCGTAATAATTGTTATCCAGCGATCATAAATAATTACCTTTTAATAACATTGATGTAGTTATTAAAAGTAATGAATATATTAATATTACCATAGGATAAAAATAAATATTCATTTCCTCTGTAGGGGAAGAGAGCTATTCAAAAATTTACAATTGTACCAAAGTATCATTTTGTATACTATTGTCAGTTTTCAACAATTTCTTGGTGCTTAAACTTGTTGGTTTATTAATTCTCTTACCATTACTGTATAGTGTATGTATGTGTTATCAAATTCGAAGAATGTACTTGTAAACATTAAGAATTTTTATTGTGCAATATTCTTATTGTTATAAACATTTCTCTAGCGATAACATATACATGAACATGTTGTAACAATAAACGTATATATTTTTATACATTTCATTAGCATTAAATAAACAAGCCAGCCACCTTTGATAAATAAAACAAGTTGCCCTATAGCTGATACGGATTCCTTAAATTTTAAATATCATATGGAACATTATAAAATTGTGATTTTTCAGTAAAAAGGTATTAAATGTGATTCCACTATGTTTGTGCAATATAAATTCTTGATGCTTAAGTTTTATTTATTAACTGACTGATGTACTTGGAGATTATTTCACCTACTCAATTACAGTCACTATTTTAAGGTGACTTTATTAAAGAAATTTTAGTATTGTATAGGAACCTTTGATCAATGATACATTGTATTAAATAGAAAAGTAAAAATCGTAAATGAAACATTTGGATTAGAATAATTTTTATTTAAAATAATATATTAAAAAAAAGTAATACATGTATAATGATATTCTAGTTTTTGAAAATACAAGCTAATAAATTCTATTGCTACTGGATAAAAGTATAGTATTTGTTGTTTATGCTACATTATATTTACATTTTATTATTGTGCTTTATAACTAACTTACAGTAGTACATATTACATTTTAGTAAATATTACAAGACTACAAATGTTCAGTATTTCCAGCATAGAACATTTTATCTACCGTTGTACTTATCTATTCCTGAAAAATACACGGTATATCCGATCAGGAGGAACAACAAGAAAGGAGTTGAACGTACATAAAAAAGAAAACAAGGCTTTATTTCTTAAAATACCGATGTTCAAAATTTTAAAAAATTAATATATTTTAAAAATTCCGCCAAAAAACAGATAGCGGCATCTAGTGGCTTATGCGAAAATAAGCTTTCCTGTTTTACCACGAGACGGCGCAAAATTTAAGTTTACTTTTAGTTCTTTCTGCCAACGGTAGGCGCGCTTTTGTAGTAGCATCGCAAATCGCTAGATGGCGCCACTTGTTTTTTGGCGGAATTTTTAAAAATATTAAAATTGTTTGAACACAAAGTCCTGTGCAAAAAAATAATGCTTTACATTTTTAACTTACATTTTCATGTAGATTCAGCCCTTTTTCGGTTATACCATCAGATCGAAAATACCCTGTATACTTGATATGAAAATAGGTATATAGTATCCTATTGTATCTTCTTCATTAAATTTTAAAGAAATATTGTTGAATTATAAGCATCATCTAAGGCATACAGAGTTATATTTTGCTGAGGAAGTAGGAATTATGTTAACATTTGATCTCAATCAATGCACTGGCAAACATTTTTTATAAGATACGGAAGAATATAATAGAATATGTTCCTCTAAAATTTTATTTTTTAATAATCTCTATGTATCGTCAACTATCATGCACCTAAATTTATAATCGTTATAAAGATAATTAAAGATGGTTTTGTTTCAAATCAAATTCATGTATTATTTAGCACTAATTGTTGGAATAAGTTTTGTAATCTATGTAATGAGCACGAATATTAACTTATAGAAGTTTCATTTCCATCAAAATTATTTAAAAAAGAAGCTGAAGTTTTTGATTATTTCTTAAATCTTCTATCTAGAATTATTATCCTACAATTGTACTATATTTATTTCAATTAGACTACATTTTGAGAAAATATATTTTAACAATGTAAGCAAAATTAAACGCTATAGTATTATATCTATATTATACTATACATATATATATATATATATATATATATATTTATTTAAAAGAAAGTTTATGTAATTCATATGATGAAACACATTATAGAATAAATTATTTACAAAACTTATTTCAATTCTTCAAGAATTATCTTAATACACTAAATAGGTAAAAAATAAAGGATACACATACATATAAAGAAATCTGATTGTGCTGAACAGTATTTCAATACTTACTTCAATGAAGAATGAGATACAGTTTTATTCTCGAAATTCTTTTACGAATAAAAACCTAACACGAAATTTCGAAAAATCTCCACAACCGACAAAATTTATGCAGTAGCGATTACGAAGTAGCCGTATCCCTGCGTCCACTGAACGACACAATAGAACGAATACCTTTTACCGACGTCTGAAATAATTCAACAAAATACATAGTTTAATTCATGGATAAATTCTTCTACTTCAACACAGTAAATGTATTTAATCATGACAATGATTGCAATGTTATTGACGATGATGGAAGTGGCAATGAGGGTGGAGGTAATGATAATAGTTATCGCTTCATACTATCGACAGAAATGTTATTTTGTTAACTATTTAAACCAATAAAAATGAAACACGGTCCCAAACAAATGAAAGATTGGCATATAGAAGAAAAATCATAGGAGTAATGTAGTATTATTTAGTATTCAACATTTAAAATTGTTAATACAAGATCATTGTTAAAAGCATTCATAGTACAAAGAATAATATAGTGACATTAGGGTAATGAAATAAAAAGTTAGTAAATTTGTTAGTCGTACTCAAGAGAAAGCAGCTAAGTGATACATACAATGTTGGCAGTAAGGCTGCAGTTAAAAGCCGAATTAACAAAAGGCTGAAGAATGCCTGAAAGAAAGAAAATATACACGAATAAAAAATCTGTCAAAAAAAAAATGTTATAAAAATCAGGTTAGAGATCAAATTGTTTATGAAATATCAAATATTGAATACATAATGTAACAAATATAAATGTATAAAGCAAAGCAAAATATAAAATGTATCAAACATATGTTTAAGAAAATAATGTAATAATAATGATAATTTTAACTATCATAATAATTATAATCACATCGACAATGACGTATGGCGATAACGATGACGATGACAATGACCAAATGACACTGATGAAAAATGGTAATGTAAAAATATGATACTAATTTCGCATAAATCGAGCTATTAGCATAAAGAGTAATCAAATCTTAATCAGAATAATAATAATTACGTAAATATATAATGTGTCGTTACGTTAGTAATCAGCGTTGTTTTAATATACTTAAATATAAATTTATCAATGATATATTGACCTTTTTCTTCGAGCCATTGAGATAGTCCTTATACATTTCTGAGCGAAGATACCTCGAGTAACTATCACTTTTCATCAGATGATAAACGTGTGCCTAAAATTGAACAACAGGATAGAATATTTTCGAATTTTTCTATAGAATAGTTAAACTCTAATGAATCTTTTTAGCTTCAAAAATATTTTGCTTGGAATTTGTACCGCTGCTATGTCAAAACACCATCGATCAGCTTTCTGTAGATTCTTCTTTGTTACCTCGTAGGACTGAGAATCAACGTTAATTGGACAACTAGCATCTGAACCCAAATATTCATTCCAGATTTCATTTACTTTAGTTTGGACTTCTTTTTGTGGTAACGCTTTTAATTCCTGAACAGCTTCCCAAAATCTATGTACAAAGTTTCATATTTTACATTTGTAATGATAGTTGAATTAAAAAGAGCAGTTATTGGTATACTCACTTCAGATTTTCACCGCTGAACTCTTTATCCAGAAAACGTATAAACTGTTCTCTACCAACAGGATCTTGCAACAATTCTTGCAAGCTAAAAGCCCATCTTTTCACTCTTCTCGTAGATACTTCTTTTCTATTTTACAGGCAATCAATTGTTTCATTTTAAAAATATGAAGAAAATTACAGTACAATAAAAAGAAAATGATAATATATACATACGCTAGTTTCTCTTGTTCCCACATTTCAGAATTATCTGATATCCATGGATTCGTGAGCTCAGGTTGTATGAAAAAGGGATCATATTCTACGTATTGCTCAAAATATGCAATTAGACTAAAATAATTAAAATATTATACATATTATAAGCATTTTTGATCATGATAATAAATATAAAATATTTACTTACGCTTCGGAAACTTTCGAAACTTTGATATTTGTTCTATCTAACCTAGATTTTAACATTTCAATTTCTTTATTTAGGGCTTCTACCGAGAACGCTGCATATGACTCTGAGTGGGGGGAAATTTGAGTACTACCTAGACCTAATTGTAAATGCTTATTTGACCTCGAAATCGGCTTATATGTACGACACGCTTTTTTTATATCTAATTCTGTTGTATTCACGCAACCCGGCTAAAATAATATATTGTAATTGTATACCATGAAAAGTATTTAACAAAAATGAATGTTACACAATTAAAATTCTTACCATCGGTCTGTACACGTCCCAGAATGCTCTTTCTTGACTATCTAATACCTTCCTCTCTAATTTGTCTCTCTTCTTATCAACTTTACTTTGTGCTTCTGCTTGCATAAAAATAAATTCCCACTTTCGTGAAAACATCTTTTGCAATTTAGCCAAATTCTCAGCTTCGTAATCTGCTAATTCTAAACGAGTTTTGTTCTGCATCGTTCGTTTACATAAATAAACAGCTGTAATATTTCAAATAAATTGTACATTTTTTATAATACAAATTTCGACTATAAACTCTTTTAGTGATTACGAAAGAACAACTGTTATACCATAATCAGTATTTTCTGGTTCCCAGCAATTCGACGGCCAAAAATATGGTGTTTGAAACCTGTAGAAAGTATTGTCATTTTTTACTGTAAGGCAGTGGTCATCTATAGGGAAAAAATATCCATGGGATGCCATTAGATGCGCCACGTGAAGTGCTTCTACCAAATTATTAACGTGTAATTAGCTGAAATTCAATATGTCGTTCATTAAAATCTCAATTTTAAATACCTTGATCATCTATAACCATGGTTTTCATCATCCAGGATATTAAATCTGTGCCTAAAGAAATGAAAGATTAGTTACTCTAACTTTACTTTCTAAATGTTAAAAAGAAACACTTAAAATAAATTGTCAGAATGTTACCAGTAAAAACTGAAGGTGTTTTTGTCATAAAATTCTTCACTGTTTTCACTGGAACACCTGTAACTTCATCTGACATTTTTTCTACGATATCCTCCATCTGAAAAACATACATACATATGTAAAGTAATAAAGCGGTTTGAAAAAATATTAGACGATCCAAATTAAAAATTGTGACATAGTTACCTTCTGATACACAAGAAAATTTGGTGTATCTTCCACGCAAGAGGCAGTGATATGATATGTCGGGCTACTAGGAGATTTGTCAACTGCTTCATCATTTTGATTGTTGTATTGATTTATTTGAGTATCTCTGTTTCTAAGTCGTTCCGTTGTTCCTCCAATATCACTGTTTTCATTTTGTTTACGGCGACATGCCGATTTTTCAGAATTCATAGTTACCATATCCAAGCTATAAAATATATTAAGATGTTATTTTAACTAATCTATTCACTTCTAAAAAGCATATATAATAAAAATATGCTTACCTTAAGAAACTTTAATTCCTTATTATACTAAGAAAAATAGAATGCTTTGTCAGTATCATATTTATCAGGATCTAAAGCAATATTTAATAAACTGATCGATCACTCTTTTACAAGCAATCCAATTGTACATTTCAAAGAAATTATAGAGAAACAAGGAACTGGTATAATACACATATAAATAATAAATATTCAAATAAACACTGCTGTTGGTGATACTTTATGAATTCCACCAACACTTTTACTGTGTTATAAAACGTAGCTTACGAAAAAATTTTCCGAATTCAATAAGAAAATAAAAATAAACAATATCACTGATTAAGCGATAAACAGTAAATTTTTCATTTGACAAATGATTTTTTATGAGTATTTAATAATCGCGCTTTCTTTATACAAGGAATAATATTGCATCGTTATTTTTGGAATTTATTTTTTACAGTTAAACCGTGTTTAAAGCAGAAATCTTTATTTTTGTTACACGATCAATATTCCGAAATTGTAAGACATGAACACTTTGTTTTCACAGTCTATATACACTTAAGAGAGTTTATGTTTCTTTCAAATGCATTTTTTTAAATGTTTAACAAATATACGTTGGGTGAACTTTACTTATAGATAATAAATTATTTTTTTTATAACTAAAATAAGATATCAGCATCTTTTAGTAAGGGTAATTCCTTTATGTATGTATGCGAAACACGACTGCGCGCACGATTTCAGATTGTTATCAAGGTGGGAGAAGGATCATATACATATATGTATAGCAAAAAGAAGAACTGAAAAGAAGAAGAATAATAGCAATTATATATAATAAATACAATATGACTTGTTTGAAAGAATTGAAAACTCAATTTATATTCAAAAAGTTGAAATTGTTAAAAGTAACTTATAACTGTTTCAATATATTCATCAGAATATAAAAAAGACGTATTCTTCTTTATAAGAAACATTACATCAACATTTAAACATGCACTAATATTGTTAATAATATGTATTTAAATACAGATTAAATTACTAAAATACATGTCCATAAATAATCTTTATTTCTTCACTTCTGGATGCAATAAAATCTTTAATAAATTCAATTCCTTTTCAATATACAAGTTATACGCAATCCATTTCAGAATGTATCTTCGCACATGTAGTTTTTATATATAAACTTAATGTACAGAATGCGCACAAGCGCACATATATTATATACATACATACAAAACAATTATAGCGTATTTAACATGTTTTTAACATTGCTAAGTTATCAATAATATTCATATTCATGAATTATCAAAAAATGTCATAATCCTCAGCAAAATATGTGGTTAAATATAATCGTGTTTTTTTTTTTAGAAAGATTTTGGATCATTTGGTTTACAAATATGTTAGAAAACATTAAATTAATAATTTATATAATATTTCCAAATCCACAAAATTGTTTATAATTACAAAATACTTTATAGTCTCGTATCGTATAAATTTTATCACCCCTTTTTCTATATAACAATTGATTTTAGAAGTAAAATTATATACAAAACATAATATGGATACAGAGCATTTAATGAGTTATCAATCACTGGTGCTAATAAATGTCTAGCATAAGTTGTTAAATTAATAGAATAACATTTATATCACATCAGTTTCATTCTTGTGTCTCTAGCAATGATTTTTACTTTTTTTCCTTTTTCTATAACTGTCATATACTAATTTATAGAAATAAAATATTAAAGAAAATAACAGTATGATTGTACAATATAACAAGTGTATGTTTTCTTGCACAGCAAAGATTCAACTGTACATAATGATTATAGTTAAGTCAAACATTCTTTAATTTGTACTTATATGTAATAAAAATATATTATATGATGTTTAAAATTGTTTATAATAAATAAAAATCTGGTGTTACAGCAATCGTAATAATACTTTCCTTTCATATTTTTTATCAATGAATTGACTCGAATTTTTCCCTTCAAAACCAACATCGTGATGTGTGTCAGACATGAGTACAATGATTTAGTTCTTTATATCACATATGCACACACATGTACACACATAATATTATAATATTGTAATTATATACATCCATTTCTACATTATACACAATTTTAATTGTGTGAAAAATTATTTATAAAGCTAAATGGAACAAATAACACATTTAAATAATTAAAATTCTGAACTACGTGTTTTTTAAATATCAAAATATTCATTGTTAGATCTTAAAATTGAATTTGACATTTATATTTTCAACTCACACCATAATATATAATAGACAATTGTTTTCTAGACTAGAATCAACCACTTACTAACGTTTTTTTTTCTTCTTCAAATTACATAGACACATGTAAGATCATGTACATTATTCTATTTTCTTTGTTTCGCTTTAAATTAAAGCTGAAAACAACTAATAGTAAACTGTCTATATGACACATATACAAGAATTACCTATTTGCCCTTTTCTGCATATTATACACTTCTTAAATCAACTCCATAGCTAAAATTTTATTGTATATGAATATCACCCACTTTTAATAAACGTTTGAATAACATTTTTTATATCTTCCATTTCGCGTATCGTTGATACTCTGGTTCCAGATGCATTTTCAATTCTTCGAGTTCGTCAATTTCATCAGTATTAAAATCATATAAACTGTTATTTTCTTCAATATATTTTCTTCTTCTTTCTAATTCCATATCATCAACTTCTTCTTCTTCTTCTTCTTCTTCCTCCTCTTCATCGGTATCGTTTGTCTTATTTTGTGCTACAAAACCATGTCAATAACATTTATTATCCAATTTTATACTTTCAATATTATTATAAAGAATGTTTGTAATTTATAGACAACATTTAGTACAGTAAAGTAAGTTTTTTCTTTCAATATAATAAAAAAGAAATACTAAAGTCTGATATATTTTTTTTTAAATTATTAAGCTGCCCAAAGTATTAATGGTAATAATTAATTAATATGATTCTAGTATAAGCATTATGAAGTGTAGCAAATATTATAAGTAAATTGCAATAATACTGATTTACTTTACTGTATTACATAATATGGAATAAACATTTACTACAAATTTACAGATGGTATAAAATTTCTAAACAGAATTTCATTCTAATTTTCTAACACCTAGAAAATATATTGTTTTTACAAGTTAATTGGTAAATAAATTCAGCATTATATGGACAATGTAGAAAAGGAAATAAACAAAAATGAGATGAATATTTAAGGTATATCTTGGAGGATAATTAATATGATTTTATTAGTTAAACAGAAGTTATTATTGTAAGTGCAAGCGAGGCATAAGATAATGTTGAAATCAGCAGATAGAGAAAAAGCATTGCTTTTCAAATAAAATATGAAGTTCAATGTAACATTATTTACACAAACTTTATTATAATAAATAATTATATTTTCGTTTCTTAGTAAATGCCTATTGTTCTATTTTCTTTTCTTTTTTTTTACAAAACAATATATTTTATAAATTTACACTCTGAATATTAACAATTTTTAGTTTACCATATGAAATGTAATGAGGTGGAGAATATAGCAGTAAGAAATGGTTTGCACTGAATTGTTTTGTTCACTCTAAGCTGTAAATTAATGCTAAATGCCACAACATATACTGATTTGAATTTCTTTAACAAAATTAATTTGTGCCATAGCGTAGAAAGCTTTTATTATTATTATTATTATGTATGAAAACAAAATTAATTCCCACCGGGGTCTTACTAAGATCAAATAAAAGATAAATAATAAAACAATTGTTTTGCACAATTACTCTGTATAGTAAAATATTTTTAATGCAATGTACATATGTTCCTTTAATATATTTTACTCACCTTGTTGCATGAATTACTGACGAAGACTCAGCAATTTTATTACTCTGATCAGAAATAATTTTAATTGTCTTATTGCTCGCTGTGTTCACTGTACTCGTTGAACACATAGTTGTGGCAACTGCACATTTGATTGCATTAAAATATTTATGAGCTGTCTCATTTGTGTCATCTGAATTTGTACATTTTAAATGTTGAGTAGTAGCTGATTCAAAATTACCGAGCAAACGAATATTTTCTGAGGAATTATTCTGCGTATCATTTTTTTCTAACCAAGGCACATCTCTCTTCAAATGGACATTAGAATCTACTTTTACACACGTAGAAGAACATTCAGAATCAATTTTCGAATCTTCACATTCTTGGAATTGTCGCTTGTGAAAATGCATACTTTGTTCAACGTTACCATTTACAGAAATATCGTTTTCAACGTTAATAAATTCATTATTTTTATGAAGATCCTCTGAAGTTTCAGACATAACATTCATAGATGCGTAAGATATTTGAGCTTGATTATAAAATGAAGTCTTTACTTTGATAGCATTGTCTGGCCAATCGTTGGAAGGAATATTTTCTTTATCCAAATTCCCATTTATTGAGATATCTGTTATGTGTCGTATCAGATCTCTAAGAACAGATCTATTAATGTTTGTCACATAAGTGTACGTTTTTGGTATAGGCATAACAATGTTTCCTTTTCTAACTGTACTAGTACTTTCCATAATAAAATTATTAACATCTGTTTTCTTTGTAATAAACATTTGTATCATTCTCTCGGTTACTGGTGCTCTTATATCTTTATAAAGTATCAAAGTACATAACTGTCTGTTATTATCATTATTAAAATCGAAATTAGTATCTTTACAAGTACAATTTATATTTGATATCTTTCTTTCAGATGTACTATTTACAACAATTGCATCTTTCCAATGCGTACTATTATTTACACGAGATACATCTATTCTTTCTACTTCATTGCTTGGCATATTATGAACATCTGTAAAAACATTTTTATCCTTATTACTATCAAAACTATGCATTTCGACAACTTCGTTATTTAAACAATTATTAGAGGAATTTCTTTCTACGCTTCCTTTCAACGTGTTTGAACTATATCCATGTTTTTCATCGCATACAAAGTATGCCTGATTATCATCCGTATTATTTACATTAAAAGTAGAGTTATTTTCAACATTATCTTTCTCATCTAAATTTAATATTACTAAACTGTGCATTCTGTCTGATTTATTTACAGTATGCGTATCTTTGCTTACACCGTACATTATGCTACAAGATAAGGAATTGCTATCACTAGTAAAATTAATACTGTTTGTTAAAGTTTCATTACTCGCTTCATCTATCAATATGGAATCTACTTTCTCTAATGTTTCCATTATAGTATCTTTCTTTACATCACTTTTAACTGCTTTCAAAGCAGAATATTCAGGTATACCTATTGATTTAGGTACAGGTACAATCATTTTCTTATCTGAGACATGCTTCAATGATCTACTATTCACAATTTTATGACAGGTATCAATTACATTCGAAACTATGCAATTTGCAGTTAATATTATATTTTTATCAGCGATCCCAACAGGATACTTTGATCGTATGTCTTCTGGTACTAATTGATTATCTAGATCTGGAACGCTAATCTCTTGTTCTTTCAAATGTACGTTTAACTTTTCGCTCTCATTATTACATTCTTCTTTTGTATCAGTTAAATTACTGTCGTAATCTTTTTTCAGTAAAAAATCTACTTCCTTCGAGTAAGACTCGTTACTCTGTCTAGAATCATGTAAATTACCTTCAAACTTAAACGATGGAACCATGCTTGTTATGCTTTGCAAACTTGGCATTTGTGATAGATTGAAAAATCTTGTTGATTT